GGGAGGGTGGAGGAAGGTGAAAAGAGCCCGGGGTGTTTGAAGTCCTCCTGGAAATGCTTTTCCCATTTGCTGCTCTCTGCTAAGACAGGACTCCCACTGTGGCACAGCAGGAGCCCTGTCCCTGCCCTTCTCTCACCAGCCCCAAAAGCTCCTGCAGCTCCTGCTCCTTCTTTTGGGGGCTGCAGAGATTTCCCTCCTGGGCGATTTGCTCCATCTTCCCTGGGCCAAGCCCCATCCCAATCCCACCATCTCCATGTGCTTGTCCCCTGGGTTTTGGCTGGTGTGGGGTGTCAGGGACTGGGGGCTGGGGGAGGGAGGATGTTCCCACTGAGCTGGCACCTCCTTTGTAGGACTTTTTGGGGGTGAAACCACCCCAGGTGTGTTTGTACCCTCCCTCAGAACACACTCCCCTACAGCTTCCATGCTGGGTTCCAGCTACTCTCTCCCCTTATGGCACCTCTTCCAGCTGGGGAAACTGAGGAACACCACCACCATCCCCCTGCTTGTGACCCCTCTCACTCTGCCTGTCCCCCTGCTGTCCCCTGGGACACTCTGGGCAGCTCTGCTGGGGGCTCCTGGGCAGGGGGCAGCCCTGAAATGGGGGGATAAAGCCAAGCAGGGCTCACCCCAGCCCTGTCCCTACAGAGGATGGGGACTGGGGGACCAGGGCCGTGTCCCTGGGAGAGCCCCAGGGTGCCAGGGGGGGACTTGGGGTGCACTGGAGGCCTGGCAGGAGCTGCCAAAACTTCCCAGCGGCTTCAAGGTGAGGGGGAAATGGAGGATCCACCAGCACAGGAACCAGCCTGGCCATGAGCCCGTGTGTGCCCTGGGCATGGGGGAGGGGTGTCCCCTGTGTCCCTCCTGTCCCCGTGTCCCTCCCATCCCTCCTGTCCCACCCCAGCGCCAGGAGTGTCAAACCTCCGATTTCTGCCCAGCAGGAAATTCCAGGTTTTTTGCAGGATTTTTTCATTTGACTCACAGCCAGGGTTCCAAATCCTCCTGCTTCCAGGGCCGGGAAGCTGGGCCCTCCTTGGGCCGGGGAAGTAACACACACGGAAAAAAAAAAAAAAAAAAAAAAAAGAGTTTTATTTATTTTCCTTCCAAGGCAGAGCAGTGGGGTGGGAGGGGAAGCCCTGCACAGCCCCGAGCAGCGCCTGCCCACGCTGGGGCACATCCAGGGGGGTGGGCAGCCACCCCTGAGTGGCTCAGGGCACAGCGGGTGACAGGGTGGCCGCGATGCCTCCGGCCCCTGCCCTCCCTCTGCTCCTGGCCAACAATAGCCGCCTTCCGGCACAGCCCCGCTCACTTTCCTGTTTTCCCTCGGCCCGTCTTGGAGTGTGGGGCTCCAACAGCTCCTGGAGACCCACAAGATGGTGGGTCCTGGTGCGGGGACAGGTGACACCGTGGGGACATAGCAGGGGGCTCACCATGGTCCTGGGCAGAACTGGGACATGGGGAATTCGCTGCTCTTGGCACCCCTGGGGCACTGGATGTGATCAGGAGCAGAGAGGGGGCTCAGATGTATCGAAATTTGTGTTTCTCTGAAAAAAACATTAGGAAGGCCTGAGTTGTGCTCTGTGAGCTGCCAGTGCTGGCCCTTTCCACGGTCCACAGGCACGTGTGTCCCCACAGCAGGAGCCACCAGTGCAGGGACCTGGGGGCCAGGCTGGGCCCAGGGGCGTATTTTGGGGATTTTGGCTGCACCCTGTGCCCAGCAGGAGAGGGAGAGCCCTGGTCCTGTGGGGGAAACACGGGTGGTGCACTGGGATGGACACATGCAGGCACAAAACAACACCTCGTCACATGTAGGTGTGTGTGTGTGCTCATGCAAACACCCCCTGGCCATGCTCTGGCCTTGCACACGCGTGTGTGCTTTTGTGCACATTCCCTGGCAGCCAATTCCACAGGGACCAGCACGGGGAACGGGAGCCTTGGGAAGAGGAGCCTGTCCCGGTGTCCCTGTGCCCAGAGCTGTTGCCACACGGGGCTGGAAACCTCCCCTTGAGGGTGCACTGAGGGTGTGTGACCAGCACAGGGGGCAAACACGCCAAGGTCACGCCAGGGCCACACGGGGAGCAGGGGTGGGCACTGAGCACACACCAGGCGTGCACAGAGGGCACAGTGACATGTGGGGACACGCAGGGGACAAGCGGGGGACACACAGGGGACACACAGGGGACATGCAGGTAACGTGACATGCAGCCAGCACGTGGCACACGTGGCACACACGGTGAACACGCTGCCACTGCCCCAGCTTACACACCCCAGGGAACCCCCGGGGTTGGGTGAGCCCCCAGCCCGGCCCTGGGTGTCCCCCCACGCCAGGCACCCCTGGTGTCCCCAGGGCTGTGGGCCCAGCTGTGCTGCCCTGTCACTCCCAGCTCCATGCCCATGGTGGCGGGCCTGATCTGGGGATGTGTGGCTCCTCAGGAGCCCCAGCAGGGGCAGAGACCGTCCCTGTCCCCCTGAGGACCCCCCAGCAGTGGGGGCACCACCACTCACCCCCCAATCCGGATTAACGGGGGAGCCCTCATGAGCTGCACCAACAAACAAAGGCCCGGGCAGGGCCAGGCCGGTGTGAGGGACGCAGGAGGAGCCATGAGGGCCCGGCAAAGCAGGAATGTGGCAGGTTTGGAGGGGGGGGCCAGGAGCCCACCCTGGGGACCCCACGTCGGTCAGCACCGGGATTTGGGGCGATGCACATTCCCCCAAACACCCCCTGCAGCAGGGGAGAGGAGGGCGGGGGGCAGAGCGGGGCCGGGGGCTGCAGCAATGGGGGGGTGGTGGTGCCGATGGCTGAGGGGGCTCTGGGGGTGCCGATGGCGGCGAGGGGGGGTCCGGGGGTGCCGATGGAGAGGGGAAGGGTCCAAGGGTGTTGATAGCAGTGAGGGGGGGTCTGAGCGTAGCGATGGCCGTGGGGGGGTTCCGGGGGTGCCAATAGGGGGGGTTCCAGGGGTTCTAATGGCTGAGGGGGGGCCTGGGAGTGCCGTGACAGTGAGGGGCGTCCAGGGGGGGCGATATGGGCGAGGGGGGATCCGGGGGTGCCCATGATGGTGGCGAGGGGGGTCTGGAGGTGCCGATAGTGGCCGGGGGCCGGGTCCGGGGGTACCGATAGTGATGGGAAGGGCCGGGGGTGCCGGTGGCAGTGACGAGGGGGGGCTGGAGGTGCCGATGGCAATAATGGCGGGGGTCCAGGGGTGGCGATGGCGGCGCCGGGGGTTCCAGGGGTGCCGAGAGTGTTGGGGGGGCTCCGGGGGGTGCCGGTGACAGTGCCGGGGGGGTGATCCGGGGCTGCCGTGATGGAGACAGGGTGGTCGGGGGTGCCGGTGTCGGTGTCGGGGGGGTCCGGCGGTGCCGGTGTCGGTGCCGGGGGCTCTGGGGGTGCTGTGACTGTCACACGGGAGTCCGGGGGTGCCGATGGTTGTTACAAGGGGGTCTGGGGGTGCCGGTGGCGGTGACGGGGGGGTCCGGGGTGCCGTGGCGGTGACGGGGGACTCCGGGGGTGCCGTGGTAGAGGCAGGGGGCTCCGGAGGTGTCGGTGACGGGGGGGTCCGGGGCTGTCGATGGTTGTGACAAAGGGGTCTGGGGGTGCCGGTGTCGGTGACGGGAGCTCCGGGGTGCCGTGGCGGTGACGGGGGGTCCGGGGTGCCGTGGCGGCGGCGGGCGCAGCCAATGCGCGGGGCGGGCGGTGAAGTCACCGCGGTGCCGCAGCCGTCGGCCCCGGCGCAGCCGCTGCGCGCACCGAGCGCGTCTGCTCCGAGCCCCCGCTGGCGTCACACGGCGCGGGGGGGACAGGACGGGACAGGACGGGACAGGACGGTCGCACACACGCGTGGGGAGGGGCTCCCACGGGGTCACCGCGCCGGGAGGGGGGTCCTGCTCCCGACCCTGCTCCCCACAGCCACTGGGGACAGAGGGACGTGACCCCTGCTCTGCCCCCCCGCCGGTGCAGGCCGGGCTGAGCTCTGCCCCACTCGTGACCTGAGTGGGCTGGGGGGCTCAGGGGGCCCCCCCTCCCCTGCCACCAGGTCCTGAACACGGATCCGGAGTGTCCTTGTCCCGGTGCAGGGGGGTCCCCAAGAGGTGTCCCTGTCCCCATCCCTGTGCCCAAGCGTTTCTGAAGGGGGAGGGGGGAATTGGGGTGCCTTGAGGGGGGGCATTGTCCCCTAAAATGGTGCAGGGGGGTCTGAAGGATGCGGGGGTTGCCCTCCCCCACCCCTGCACCCTCAGTGGGTGCAATCTGGGGGGGACTGGGGGTGCCCCTGTGCCTGTGGGCAGCACAGGGGGGGTGGCAAAGGAGTGCAGCACAGGGGGTGCCAGGTATGGGGGTGCAGGGACCCTTCCAAGGAGTGTCCCCAGCCTCCCCCACAGCACAGGAGGGTGCCGGGGGGGGGTCCCGGTCCCCGGAGCAGCACAGAGGCTGCCCCGGTGCAGCGAGGGGGGTACCCGAGGGGGGTGCGGTGTCCCCAGATGGAATCCGGGGGGGTGAGGTCCCGGGTGGGTGCCCGAGAGAGGGTGTGGGTGGTCCTGGGGGGCGTTTGGGGTGTCCCCCTTAGGGAGGCTGTTTCCCCAGTGAGTGCCCGGGGGGGTCTTTGTGTCTCCAGGAGGAATTGGGGTGTCCGGGGGGGGCTGTTTGCGTGTCCGGGGGGGTGTTTGTGTCCGGGGGACGGGGGAGCTGTTGCTGTCCCTGTGCCCGGGGCTCTGGGGTGTCCCGGGGGGGGGGGGGTTGTTTGTTTGTGTGCCCGGGTGTGGGGGGGGAGCACGATTGTGTCCCGCTGAGTGCCCGGGAGGGGTGTTTGTGTCCCCGGGGAGTGTCGGGGGGTTCTGTGACCCTGGCCGGGGGTGTTTGTGTGCCCGGGGTGGCCGCTCGTGTCCCCGGCGGGGTGTCCCCGTCCCGGGGCGGCCGGGGGGGTGTCGGCGGCCCGGGGGCGGGGCGGGGCGGGGCCGCGGCCGTGCCTATAAAGGCGGCGGGGGCGGGGGCGGCGCGTCCCCCCCCGGCGGCGGCGGAGCGGCGCGGAGCGGAGCGGGCGGCGGTGCGGGCTGCGGTACCACCAGCAGCGGCGGCTCTGCGGGGCCGCGCCGGTGAGCGCCGGCCCGGGGGGCTCGGGGGCGGAACCGGGCAGGATCCGGGGGAGCCGCAACCGCCTGACCCCCCCCCCCCCCCCCCCCTCATCTCCCCGCAGGTCTCGGCCACCCCCGGACTCCCCTCCGGCTCTGCCCGTCCCTCCGCCTCCCTCCCCCCATCCCCTTTTTTTTTATTTTGCCGCCCCCCCTCATTTCTCCCAGCAACGCCGCCCCCCGCCCCCCCCCGCAGCAAGATGGTGCAGAAGAAATCAGAGATCCCGGGATTCCACCGCTCCTTCAAGGTAAGGGGCCGCTCCCCGCCCCCACCGGGATGCTCTGGGGGGCTCCGGGGCCGGGCTGCCGGCAGGGCCGGGCTGCGCCCGCATCGCTGCCTCCCCTGCCCGGCAACGGAGGGGGCCCGGCCGCTTCCTGCCCCACCCCCGAAACCCCCAAACTGAGGAGCCCCGGGGGCGCTGCCCCCAAACCGTGCGGGGGGACCCCCCTGTCCCCTGTGCCGGAGGTCGCGGTGCTGCCGGGGGTTGGCTCAGTGTCTGCCCCCATGCCTCGGGTGGGCGCTGGGATGCTGCAGCTCCCGCGGGGATCCCCCGTGGGTGCCTTGGCTGCACTTTCCCCCCGCCCAGCTGCACCCCCTCGTCCTGGTCCGGCTGCGATGTGGGGGTGGTTTCAGGGCTCCCCAGACCCGGCCCGGTTGGACCGTGCGAGGCTCGATCGCGCCCGCCCCGGGATGCCCTGGGCACCCCAAACCCGGGCCCGTCACCCCCCCTGTCCCACCTGCCGCTGTCACCTCGGGGGGTGTGGGGGGGTCCCTGTGGCCCCGCTCCCTTCGCTTCCCCCCTTCCCGAGCCGCCTCCTGGCTGTGGCTTGGGGGGTTCTTTGTTCGGTTTCTCTCTAGCTCCGGGGTGCGGGGGGGTCCCCCTAACCCGCCCCCTCCTGGTGCTGACCCCCGCTCCCGCTCGGGCGGCCTCTGGCCGGGGTTTGTGTCCCCCCGCGGTGGCTGGGGATGGAGGCGGGGGGGACACCTCGGCTGTGCTGATGGAGCCCGTGCGCAGCCTCCCATCCCCCAGACCTTTGTGTGGCAGTGCTGCGGCAGCTGGCAGGGCCCCCTGGCCCCCTATTGCCCCCCTGTGCTTCCCCTGCCCTCCCGTACACCCCGTGCCTCTCGCGGAGGCCCCGACCCCCCCATCCTGCCGGGGCTCGTCCCGGGGGGGCAGCAGCTGCGGGGCGATGCTGCGCTCCCCAAATCCAGGTTTTGAGGGGGAGGAGAGCTGGGAAAATGCAGCACGGGAGAGTTTTGGTCCCGGAGATCCAAAGTGGTGGTTGGTGGGGGGGTGATCCTGCCCCCCGTTCCCCTGGGGACCCCCGGCCCCCCCAGGGCTGCAGTAAACAGGCGCCTTCTGGGTGTTTCTGCCGGTGGCCGGGGCTGGCCGTGCTGGGGCTGGCAGCCGGCCCGGGCACCGGGCGGGTTTGGGAACGCCGCTGGAGCTGCCACCTCCACCCAAACAGATTTCATAATCCTGGGGAGGAGGGGGCCCTTTTGCCCCTAGCACTGCCCCATCCCACGGGTGGCTCAGGGGAGCAGGAAGCAGAGGGTCCCCATGTCCCTTTGGGTGCCACTGGGGTTCAGCATGGGGGAAGGAGCAGGTCCATGCCCATGCCCTCCATGGATCCCAGGGTGCAGGAGGGTTTGGAGTGAGGCCTGATCCTGCCGGGTCGGGGGTGTCCTGCAGCCCAGTGGACACGATGTCCATGGAGCAGGCTCTGGCCTCTGTGACCTTGCAGGGAGCTGGGAGGACATGGAGGGGTGGCTCTGGAGCCTCTCTTGCCCTGTGACTTCTCTTCCTCCCCCTCCTACCTCACTGTGGTTCAGGTTTGGGTGGAGATTTGGGGTTGGGTTGGTGTGGGCGGCTGCGGTCCCTCTCATCATCCCCCATGTGCTGGCCTGGGGCTGGCTGGAGGAGTGACCCTGCAGCACCATCCCCATCAGGAGATGTGGTCAAAGCCTTCCTCCTCATCCTCTGCAGCTCTGCCGTGTCCCACCATGGGCTGGTGACCTGCACCATGGGGTAGTGAGCAGAATGTGTCCCAGGAGCTGCTGGAGCATGCTGGGCTCAGGGTGGCAGCTGGTGGTGGCTGATCCAGCAGCTGCCACCTCACTCCTGCTCTTGGTTCCCACAGGGGCAAAACCCTTTCGACCTGGAGTTCGACCAGTCCAACCACCTGGAGCCCGTCTTCAACTTCGAGTGCCCGCCCCGTCCCGGTGAGTCGCCAGGGGCTCCCTCCCAGCGCGGCCTCTCCCACCCTGCCCCTGGGATCTGGGCCCTGAGGGCTTTGGGGGCAGCCCTGGCCGTGCTGGGGGAGCTGGGGGTGGACAGGGATGGCTGACACCGCTGGCTTTGCTCTGGCACAGACATGCCTTCAAGTCAACCCATCGACATCCCTGATGCCAAGAAAAGGAACAAGAAGAAGAAGCGCTGCAGAGCCACCGACAGCTTCTCGGGCAGGTTCGAAGGTGAGTGGGGCTGCTCAGGGACCCCAGGGGCTGCCCTTGGCCTGGGGCAGGGCTGGGCCCTCCTGGTGTCCCCAGGCTGTGTGCAGTGGTGCCAGCAGCTCAGCTGACCTCTCCCCTGGCAGATGTTTACCAGCTGCAGGAGGAGGTGCTGGGAGAAGGGGCCCACGCCAGAGTCCAGTCCTGCGTGAACCTCATCACCAACAAGGAGTACGCGGTGAAGGTAAGCTGCCCTCCTCCCACCCTCTACCTCAGTTTCCATTCTGCCCTCTGCTCCTGGGGCTCTCCCAGCTCCCAGGACCATCCTGTGCTGGCCCAGGACTGCAGTTCTATGGGCTGGAGGGAAGGGAGAGGGGTGGGGATGCAGCAGTGCTGGGCTGTGGTGGTGGCACATCGACCTCTGCCACCACCCAGCTCGGGCTCCTCGGTGACCCCCCTCAGCCACACTCCTCTCTCTGTCAATGAGGGCAGGCCAGAGAGTAAATGAACACTCGGGATGTGTCTGGGGACTTGGGGCAGGGTGGTGCTGGTAGGATGGTGGTCTCCTGTTCACTCTAGGAAGGTCTCTCTCATGTGGGTGCTGGAGGAGGTTGGTGTGAGCTTTTGGGGTCAGCATGGTGGTCCCATGGCCCTGCACCCCACAGATTCTGAGCCATGGCAGAGGGGCTCTGGGATGGGCCCTGTGTCAAAAAGCAGCCAAATGCCAGGGGAGCTTTGCCTCCCCCATCGCTCCGTGGGGGCCTTTGGGTGCCCCAGAGGAGAAGCTGAGGCAGCAGGGAGGGCTGTGCTGCTGGAGTGCTCTGTGTGCCCCAAAGGGCAGTGACAGCACCCATCCATCTGCCCTCCCCACCGCGTGGGGTGTCCCCCTGTCTGCCCTTGGCACGGGCAGCGAGCCCCGCCGTGCCAGCACCCAGTGGGGCATAGGGCCCTTCGCTGCTCCAGCGTCACACGGAGCTCTGCTGGCCCCGGCCCCGGAGGGAGCGGCTTGGCACGGCCGCTGCCGCTTGGCACCGGCGCCGGGAACAGCCTGTTCTGCTCCGGAGCCCCGCCCGGCCCCGCGGCTCCCCGCGCCCGAGGGGCAGCGGTGCCCCGGCCCCTCCCTGGCAGCGCTCAGCCTCCCCCTCTTTGCCTCCCAGATCATCGAAAAGCGCCTGGGACACATCCGGAGCAGGGTTTTCCGGGAGGTGGAGATGCTCTATCAGTGCCAGGGACACAGGTACGGGGGGCATCCCCCACGGTGGGCACCGGGAGTGGGCTGGGAGCTGATGATTGGGACGCCCATGGGTCACAGCCAGCCTGCCCTCTGCCCCACGCTCCCTGCCCCTGCCCCCGCTGGCCGCGGTGGAGCATCCCCAGGGGACATTCGGTGGTTTGCCATGACGGCAGGCAGGGCCTCGGTGGCCAAGTTGGAGCCGAGCCGAGCCCCTGCTGTGTGTGGGGCAGGCCAGGAGGGGCTGGGAGCAATTAGGGAGGAGCGAGCCGGGCGCTGCAAGCCCCTCTCCCTCCTGGAATTCGGCCAGGGGGGCCCTGGCCGTGTGGTTTCAATCACTGCAAGCCCAGTTTTCCCATCCCACATCCCTCCCGGGGTCCTGTGCTGGATGGGGCTGGGGGGGGGACCCTAGGAGGTGTTTGGGGGGATGCTGGACTGATGCCATGGTCCCTGCAGAAATGTGCTGGAGCTGATTGAGTTCTTCGAGGAGGAGGAGAGGTTTTACCTGGTGTTTGAGAAGATGAGGGGAGGTGAGTGCAGCCCCAGGGTGGGAGGAGCTGGGGCAGCAGGACCCCCCTGAACCCCAGCTCTGCTCTCACCTGGCCACAGGCTCCATCCTGACCCACATCCACCGGAGACGCCACTTCAACGAGCTGGAGGCCAGCGTGGTGGTGCAGGATATCGCCAGCGCCCTGCACTTTCTGCACAACAAAGGTGAGCTGGGACGCCCCAGGTGCCACCGAGGACACCCTGGGGTGCGCTGGGCCCTCCCGGGGGTGTCACTGCCTCCCCCCATCCTCCTGCCCAGGGGACAGTGCCCGTCCCAGCACGCAGGGTCAGGCCCAGCTGCATCACAAGGCTTTTTGTGGTGCAGATCCTGTTCCTCCAGTTTGGTTGGGATTTGGGGCCAGCAGCAAATTTTGCCTTTTGCCAGGGCGCAGGCAGTGATTTGGGGTGGGGAGGGAGGGGTCCCTGTGCCACCCCCAGACTTTACACTATAGCAGTTCTTGTAGGAGGGGGATTTTTACCCTCATTGGCTCTTTTGCCCCCAGGGATTGCACACAGGGATCTGAAACCAGAAAATATCCTGTGTGAGAGCCCAGACCAGGTGAGCGGGGAGCAGCCAGGGTGGGTGCAGGGTGTGCTGCCTGGGGGGGGTGGGCACAGTGGGGTGATTGCTCAGGTGGGGGGTGCAGGAGGGTCCTGCCAGGGACACACACACACACGCCAGGTTCTGCCAGGGACACACACCCCCCCCCATATGCCACAGCACAGCGTGGTGTGAAGCATGACACAACCTGGCATTGAGCAGCTGTGGCCTGAAAACACGGCTGTGGTCCCCGGGGGCTGCCGGCTGTGGTTCCTGCAGGATGCCAGGGGGGTCACCGACCACTCCTTCCCCTCTCTCCCCAGGTCTCCCCAGTGAAGATCTGTGACTTTGACCTGGGAAGTGGCATCAAACTGAACGGCGACTGCTCCCCTATCTCCACTCCAGAGCTGCTCACCCCGGTAAGCGTGCGAGGCCCCCCCCATTGTGGGGTCCCCGGGCACCCCCCAGCTGCCCTGCAGCCTCCAGGAGCAGGGCTCTGCACGGACACCCCCCTGCTCGTCGCTGCTGTCGCTGATGCAGCGCGTCCCCCGTCCCCCCCCCCGCCGTGGAAGGCGAGATGCGGTTACATAACGCGGGGGGGCCGGGGGCTGGCGCAGCGCCCGGGCTGCCTTGAGCCTTAGCAACAGCCCGAGCGCTCGCCGAGCCTGCCGGGAGAACTGGGTCAGCACCGGGCTGGGGGGCCGCGGTTCCCCGGCTCGTGGGCGAGGGAGAGGGGCCGAGCCTGTGCGGCGCGGCGTGGGCAGCCCGAGCGCTGCCGGGTGTCCCCGTGTCGCGCAGATGCCATCTCCCGCAGAAAGCCGCGCTGCCCTTATCGCCAGCCGCAGGTGCCCCCTGCGGGGTATCGCCCTGCACCCCGGATTCTGGGGTGCGAACGTGCCGGGGAGGGCGGAGCGGAGCCCGTGCGGGGCGCACAACAGCCAGGACACCCCAGCCCCCTCCTTCCTCCGCGTCCGCCTCCTCCCGGGGCGGATCCGAGGTCCTGGGGTGTCCCGAGTTTGCCCATTCTCAGCCGGGATCGGGCTGGGGGGGTTGTTTTCCTGCGGTGGCATCAGCTGCTGGGGCCGGCCCCTCGTCTGGAGGCCTCTCTCGTTACGGGGCGATTATCTGCTGGCTGCAGCTCTTTTCTGCCCTGGTCACGGGGCCTGTGTGGGCTGCGGGTCATGTGCTGGAAAGCCCCAGAGTCCCTGGAGCGATAGGGGAATGGGGCCGCTGGCTCTGCCTCTCCCTGCACAGGGTTAACTCCTCCCGCCCCGGATCCTGCGCGGCGGCTCCGCCCGTGCCGGCCCGGGGAGCAGGAGCAGGCACAGCAGGCTCGTCCCACCGTGTCCCGTGGCCGCTCCCAGGCGCTGGGGCTGTCCCGCCGAGCCGGTTGGGTGGTGACAATGCTGTGGGTCCTGTGGGTCCGGCTGTGCTGCACCGTGGGGGTTGCACCCTTTAGGCTTTTTTTTTTTTTTTCCTTCGGGGTGGCAGCTGCTGTTGGGTGACCCCAGAGAGGCGGGTCTGTGGCATCCTCTGCGGTGGGAAACCCAGCAGGGCGATGTGGCAGGAGCAAACCTGGGGAGCACCTTCCATTCAGAGGTGCAGCCCCGGAGATCTGGCAGGACCCTCCCAGTCCCCCCTGCCCTGTTTGTCCCCACCCTTGGGGCTCACCCCCTGCCCTGTCTGTCCCCACCCCTGCCCTGTCTGTCCCCACCCCCGGGGCTCACCCTGCCCTGTCTGTCCCCACCCCTGGGGCTCACCCCCTGCCCTGTCTGTCCCCACCCCTGGGGCTCACCCCCTGCCCTGTCTGTCCCCACCCCTGGGGCTCACCCCCTGCCCTGTCTGTCCCCACCCCTGGGGCTCACCCCCTGCCCTGTCTGTCCCCACCCTTGGGGCTCACCCCCTGCCCTGTCTGTCCCCACCCTGGGGCTCACCCTGCCTGTCCCCACAGTGTGGCTCAGCCGAGTACATGGCCCCAGAGGTGGTGGAAGCCTTCAACGAGGAAGCCTCAATCTACGACAAGCGCTGTGACCTGTGGAGCCTGGGTGTCATCCTGTACATCATGCTCAGTGGGTACCCCCCCTTTGTGGGCCACTGTGGCTCTGACTGTGGCTGGGACCGGGGTGAGGCGTGCCACACCTGCCAGGTGAGTGGGGCACCCCAGCAGCGCCCAAACCCACGCCCAGTTTGGCTGCAGTGCTCCTGGCTGAGGCCTTGTTCTTTCTCCCCTTGCTCAGAACATGCTCTTTGAGAGCATCCAGGAGGGGAAGTACGAGTTTCCTGACAAGGACTGGGCACACATCTCCTTTGGAGCCAAAGACCTCATTTCCAAGCTGCTGGTGAGAGATGCCAAGAAGCGGCTCAGCGCAGCCCAGGTCCTGGAGCACCCCTGGGTGCAGGGGGTGAGTGTTGATGTCCCCTCCCCACTCTCTGCTCCCAAAATCCGGGGTGGGGAACATCTGTCTGCACTACCCGGGCTCTGACTGGCTGCATTTTGTTGCAGTGTGCCCCGGACAATACCCTGCCAACCCCCATCATCCTGCAGAGGTGAGTGGGCTCCAGCCCCCTGAATCCTGACTCCACTCCTCAGCACTACTGTCTGTTCCTTCTGCTTTTTGGGGGCTCTGCCACCACTCTGTGTCTGGGCAGCCCTGCTACTTGGGGTTTGATTTTTGGTGTCTGAGCAGTCTGGCATGGCCAGCACGTGAGGAGGGACACCTGGATATTTGATCCCAACCTTCCTCCAGCCCCCCACACCCCCCTGAGCCCGTGCCTCCCCTGCAGGAACAGCAGTGCCAAAGAGCTCACCTCCTTTGCTGCTGAGGCCATCGCTGTCAACCGCCAGCTGACACGGCATGACGAGGACGAGGAGGAAGAGGCGGAGGAGGAAGCACGACCCATCATCATCAAAGCTACCTCACGGGCCATGCAGCTCTCCCCCCCCTCTGAGTCCAAGCTGGCCAAGCGGCGGCAGAAGAGCAGCCTGGCCAAGGCAGTGGCCTCTGGGCAGCACCTGGTGGCCCCGCTGGTCCTGGTGGCCGACCAAGCCTGAGTGGTGCCCCTCACACCTGCTGTACCCCATGTCCCCCCTTCTCCTCCTTTCTTTCTTCCCCTTTCCCTCCCTGACCCCACCGTTTCTGGCTAGTGACAAGATCAGGACTCGTCCCTGTGGCTGGTTTCCAAGGTTTTGCTGATCTTGTAGGTCTGGGGGTGGGAGGGTTTAAGATCTTTTTTTTTTAAGGTATAAAATCAAGTGTGAGGTTGCTTCACCCAGGGCACACTCAAGGACATCTGACAGACACACGGACTTTTGTTTCCCAGCTCTTGGTTTCTCCTCTGACATTTTCCCCCTCCCTGACACCAAAGGACTCTTTGTATCCGCGGCTGCTTTGACGATTTCAGCTCATTTCATACTGTGAACAAAAGACCCTCGGTCGCATTTTCAACAACGGGAGTTGTGTTTTAACCTCGTCCCTCCCCTCGGAGCTGCAGGTTTCTCTCCTTGTTGGGGTAGATCCCACAAAAACCCCTTCCTAGGGGTCTGGGAGGCACCTCCCAGCTGTGGGAGGTGTGGGGAGCCCCTGTGTCCTGTTCTTGGGGGTGTCCCCAGCTCAGCTCCAGGGGGGCACAGTGCAGGGATCAGCTCGGGCTGGGGAGAGACGGTGCCAGAAGGGAGCAGTGCCCAGCCCACCTTCTCTCCTCGGCATCCTGCTTCCAGAATAAGCTATTCACCTCTTTTCTTTTTGCCCTTTTTTTTTTTCCCTTTTTAATTACTGTTGGTTTTAAACTGCCAGCTGTGCTTCTCTACAGGGCACAGAGAGATGTCTTCCTTTCCTCCCACGCTCCGGCTGGCGGCTCCCTGGGCATGCATGGGTGCTCTTGTGCCAGGTCAGGTGTTGCACCCCGGGTTTTGGAAGGGCTGGTGGCTGTGCCCCTGGGGGGGGTGCATGGGGGATGAGGTGTTCAGGGTGGCCAGAGCAGCCAGAAACACTCTCTGGGAATTGTGTGCTCTGTGCAAAGCAAGGACCCCCTTACAGAGCATCAGGACCTGCTGCAGGACAGTGAGACCTGCCGTGGCTTCAGGCTGGCCCCGAGGCTGCCGTGGCAGGAGGGTCAGGGGGCACAGAGGGTGCCCCAATGCCCCAGGGGTGCCAGTGGGTGAGCAGTCAGGCTGGTGGCAGCACCCAAAGGCCAGGGCATGGGGGAGCAGCCTGGGGACAGCTCAGGATGTGGGGCTGGAAGGTTTGGGGTCAGAGCAGCAGGGTGTTCAGCAGGGAGAGCTGGTGTGGGTGGTCATGCACGTGCATCTCTGCTCACGTGTGTTCAGCCATGCATGGTGTTGTCCTTTCCTTGGAGTTTGCTTCAGGGGGGGAAGGACTCGGGATGCTGAGTTGGGGCGAGGCCCTTGGTTGGTTTCTGGGTCTGTCCAGGGGAGCTCAGGGCCAGACCAGCCTCCAGATCCCCCTGACACCCCCTGCTCCCTGCCACAGGCACTGCTTGGGGTTGTGCCACCAAGCTGTGCCTGCTGCCAGCCCCCATCCCGCTGGGAGGGCAGTGCCCCCTTCACAGCCTCCTCCTGTCCTTTCTGACTCAGTGCTTTGAGCTTTATATTTTGCAAAAGCAGCCTCGGCCCATCGTGTGCACAGGTGAGGGTTTGGGAGCTCTGAGCTGGGGAACAGACTTCCCTGGGTCTTCAGCTGAAGACAGTTGCTGTCTCTGGAAAAAAAAAAGAAAAGAAAGTTCTCCTTTTTATTTTAAGACTGCTGACAGCAATACTATGCAATATATGTTGTTTTTTGTTTCAGGGAGGTGTGTGTGTTATCTTGGGAGATGATGATCTCGGGTGTTGATGGAGTTTAGGGCAGGGGCCATCTTCTCTCACCCTTCCCAGCCTTTCTGCTGACCCAGGGGGCTGGGGAGGGTGACTCCATCCCCATCCCGTCCCCAAAACTGCCTCGCACTTGTGATCTCCCTCTCCCCTGTGTGTCCCCAGTCCCACTGTGCTGGGTGGGAGGAGCAAGGCAGTGGTGAGGGGAGACCCTCCCCGCAGGCACCAGGACACCCTGGAGAGGCCTCCTTTAACAGGAAGAAAAAAAAATCCATCTTGATTGTACGTTGTTACTTTTTATAGCTTATTTTGTTTTATCAGTTGTAGATAATTCCTTGTTGTCTTATATTAAGAAATACTTGAATGATGTACAGTACGCGATGCCTTGAGCTGGTATTGTGAAGCTATCGTTGATGCTGCACGCTGCAGCCTTTTTTTAAAAAACAAAAAATTCATGGGAAGGGGATGGCAGGGGGATGTCTCCAAAATTTATCTGTCCCCCGTGCTGCTTTTGTTGGCAAACTGAGTTTCCCCTTTTCCCCCACGCGTAAGAGCGATCTCTTTTATATCTCTAAATATAAAGTACACCACACACTCTGGGGAAGGCCTGGGTGAGCCTGCCTGTGTCCCGTGGGTGTCCTCGGCCGGGGATGTGCAGCCAGAAGATGCTGTGGGAGTTTGTGGGACTTGGAGGATGTGCTGGGAGCATCTGAGCTCGGCCTGGGCTCGGCTTTGCATTTTGGGTAGGGTTTGGTGTGGACCCGGCGCTCCTGGCGTGGTACTGGGGGGTGCCCCAAGGCCAGGTCTGTGCATTGGTAGAGAATCTTTAAATGCCTCTATGGACTGGAAAACCTCCAGCCTGGCTGGTGGCAGTGCTGGGCACCCCCAGGTGCCCTGGCAGGGCAGGCATGGCTGGGGACACCCTGGTGCCAGGGCCAGATGTCCCCTCCCCGCTGCCAGCGCCTCTCCCGGGGTGGTTTCCAGACAGATGCTCCCGTGGTCCAGCACCAGCGACCCCCTCTCGCCAGCACCCTTCCTCCTCCTCTTCCTCTTTCCAAACTTTCCCCCCCATAGAGCATCTATCTTGGAAACCAACTTCAAAAATATTTTTTTTTTTAAGCTGGAAATGTTAAGTGTTTTTGCTTCCTCCCCTTCCCCCCCACCCTTCCTCCAGCCAACTAACTCGACTTAGAACTGGTTAGAAATGTTTACTGTGAAGCTAACTCTTTTTTATCAAACCAGGAGAAACTTTCTCCACTTTACAATTGATGAAGACTGCCAAAGCTGGTTCAACAAGAGTCACGTTAACGCACTGTTGGTTTGTGCAACAGCTGCCTCTGCTCAGGGGCTGGCTGGGAAATAAAATAAAATATAAAAAAAAAAAAAAAAAAAAAAGGACAAAAAAACAAAAACAAAAAAAGGAAAAAAAAAACAAACACACAAAAAGAAGCACTTTACTGTATTGTACCAGGTGATCTGATACAGCTGAATTGAAGTTTTCCTTTATAACAATTGTTGATGCCAGAATTTTGTATTCTGTTTTGTAAGAATTTAATAAAAATGCATTGAGACCTATATGGTGGGCAGGTGGCTGTGGCAGGTGGGGCATGTTGGATGAGGGGTTTGGGGAATTGGGTGGCACTGTGTCCAGGGGCTCCTCTCCCCATAATCCTTCCCAGCCCACTTGTTCCTTCCCAGCCTGCTGCTGGCCCAGGGGGCTGAGATGTGGCTGGGGTGGGAGGCCAGGAATAGGGGCTGGCAGAGGCTCAGGCCCTGACTCACTTTTCCCAGCGGATGGTGTGATCCTCTCAATCCCAATGGGAGCTGCAGGTCACGGGGCAGGGCTCTGCTCCCTGCCAGCTGCACCCAGCGGCCTTGGGACTGCCCTGCCACCCCCAGAGACACTCCTGGCACATCCTCCCCACCCCTCCATGGGTCAGGGGCCAGAGGGGGACACTGAGGCAAGAGGAAAGTGTGGTGGGATAGGGAAGGCAGTGGGGACTGGAGGCTGGGGATCAGGGTGTGGGAAAAAGGCCGTAGAGGCCCTGCTGAGCTTTCTTACATGGACAAGGCAAGACCTTGTGGCATTTAAAATAAAAATTTAAAATCCTGACTTCTCCTGCCCTGCTGCTATGCTGGGGGATGGAGCTGGATCCCTCTGGATGCCATTGCCATGGTGCTGCTGCCCTGGCAGAACCCCATCCATGGCACCCCAGCTTTGGGGAATGGGCAGTGGGCTCTGCCATGGAGCAGCTGCTGCTCCCAGCTGTGAGCTGAGAGAGCCCCACTGCAACACTGCTGAGGATCCAGGCTCACTGCTGGGTAAATGCTGCAGCTGCTTCTTGCAGCATCTGGATCAGGACAGGATGGCCCCAGAAGTGTCCCTTCCCTGGCTGTTCCAGGATGGCATATGCTGAGAACAGAGCTGGGGTTCCCTCCATGCTGAGGATGAGGAGCATGTCCCATCCCATGGTGCTGTTCCTGCCTCTGTTGAACAAAACCATTGCTCCCTCCTGGGCCTGGGGCCACCAGCTGGTGACCCTGGACATTTTAGGAGCGTCCAGTTCTTGGCTCTTCTTCCTCTCTTGCATGTTGTTTCACCATCATTGGGCCCTCAGCTGTGTGCTTCAGAAATCTTTCCTCTCCTGCCTTTTGCTCAAGAGGTGCTCAAAAAGATCCAGCTGGATCCCAGACAGGTGTGTCAAAGGATCCAGCTGGATCCCAGACAGGTGTGTCAAAGGCAGCTTTGCTGCAGATTCTGGTTTAACTTTAAATCTCTGAAATTCCTTTACATGGCCCCTCTTCTCCCCTTTCCCCAGTTTCCCCAACCCCAGAAAGCGCCTGGCAGTTGGAAACCATTCCTGAGCACGTGCAGAGAAGGGCAGCTCTGAAAATAACCCAGTGCTGGGTTAAAATAACCTGTGCTGCTCTGGTGCTTGAGCATCAGCCCAAAATAGGCTCTGCCGGGATAAGGGCGCTATAAATACCCTGGTGTGGATTTGCACTGGAGAAAAGCCCCCAACTGCAGCAGGAGCAGTGCCCACGCTGGCCCAGAGGGAAGGGGACACTGCAGAGCCCCCAGGGTGGCCTGGCTGATGTAGGGGTCAGCCAGGCTTTGGGTGATGTGGTGGCTTTGTGCCAGCCTGCCTGGCTTCAGCATCTAATGGAGCCAGCAGGTCATGGTTGGATCTGAGTGGCCGCAGCACTGGTGGGGTCACATCTGCCTTCAGCCCAGGGCCCTGAGGCACCTGGGCAGGAGCAAAGATGAAGTGTCCTCAGTATTTTGGGTCTGAGCCCAGCTCTGCTGGTGACAAATGATGACCTGGGTGATTAGCCAACATTTTGATTCAACGTCTGCCCAAAAAACCACCCTGAAGTGAGTAACATGCATTCCCTCAGACCAGGCTGCTCTCCTGAACCGTCAGTGAACCCCAAACCCACACTGGACAACGTGGAGTGGAAGGTGTGAAGTGTATTTTGATGCAAAACAGCTGCTTTGGATCAAAAAAAATATTTAACTTTCCTTTTTATGCTTTTAAAATGTTTTCTGGGATAGGGCAGAGATAGAAAGAACTCCAGTGCATTTTGCAGAGAGTCATGTCTCCTATCCAGGCAACCCAAACCAGCCATCTGGGGTGGTTTTTTGGTAGGATGTGCCATTTTGGTGTGGTTTTGACTGGTGTGTGCAGGTTCTCCCTCTGAAGTCATCTCAGGGAGTGAGTGCACCCCAGCAGAGCCCAGCACACAGGTCTGGCCCTGCCTGTGTTTCCTGTAGCTGCTCCCTCTGCACCAGGAGCCTCAGTGGCACCAGCACAGCATGGCATGGCCTGTTTCCTCCACTGTCTGAAGGCCTTGGTCAGCCTTGTTTGTGGTTTTGGATGGTGAAGTGTGAATTTTGGAGAGCCATGGGATGCAGGTCTGGCTTTGCCACAGGATTCCAGCTCTGGTGGAATTGCACAGGCAATGGGAGCTGTGGTCAGTCAGTGGGAGCAGAGCAGGGTCAGGTTTTCCCAAAACCCAGGAGAGCTGTGCCCATGGCTGGAGTGGACCCTGGGCCTCAGGAGTCACCTCCTCACCTGGCTGGAGGTTTAGACCAGGGTTTTGTGCTAAGGCACAGGGTTTGGCAGGTCCCACTTTGCCCTCCTCTGGCTCACACCCGGGATGTCTCTGTCTTTGCCATGCAGTCTTCCTCAGAGCTCCCTACATCCTAAAATGCCTCCTTTGAGGTGAGCTGCTCCGCCAGGGGAGAGCTGCATCTGCCTGGCTTTTGCTTTGAACACACATTTGCAGCTTTTGCTTGGAGCACACATTCTAAATGGTTTTTTCTGCCTCCACAAGGTGAAGAAAGGCCAGATGTTCTCTGCTTTCCAACTCTGAGCACTCTGATCCCACTGGTTTCATTCCAGCTGCTCGGAGCCTTGTGAGACCCTTCGTGTCCAGCCCTGGATGGGGTCAGCCTTCACCCCACCAGCTGAACCCCAGCTGTGGTTTCCCTGCCCAGAGGGACTGCTGGGATGAGGCTTTTGCTCACCCTGTGAATGGCCCAGCTAAAACAGCACTGCCTTTGCCCAGGGCCTGATCTCTGAAGGAATCTGTTGGCTACCAGACCTGAAATAATGACACCAAGCCTTTCATAGGAGTGTTTGTTCCCAGGTTTATTTTTGGGATGCTAAAGTCTCCTGTATGACACTCCTCTTTTTATTCCTCTGGTCTAACACACCCCTGATCACCGTGGTGCTGGTGCTGGGTCAAGCAGCAAACCTGTAACCCCATCCCACAGCACCAGGGTGAGTGTCCCACACAGGTCCATTATCCCTGAGATCCATGGCTGTGTTTCCTTACACTGGTCCTGAGTGAAGCCTCTGGCTCCTGCCACAACACAAATCACCCTGATTTACTTTACCATGGGCTGAATAAACAGGATCTGTCAGATGCAGGGTGGCAGGGCTGGCACGGTGAGCACGGCACAGAGCTGGTGGTGCTGGAAGATCAGGATTGATCGGGTGCAGAATCCCCTTCCCAGCTGATGGAGAAGCACCACAGTTTGTCGAGGGTGAATTTGCTGGGATTTTGGAGCAGAGAATGCTGTGTTGAAGAAACTTCAGCCCATGGGCTGGGCTGGATGATCCTGCACCTCCCAGGCAGGGCAGGAGCCCCTCAGTGGCACTCCTGGAGCTGGATCCGTGTGGGATGACACAGCCCGCAGGCCGTTCCTGCCAGGCAGCAGCCGGTCCAGCCACCCAGCCGGGCACTGCGAGTCTCCAGCTCCCTCTAATGTTTGTGGCCCGAAAGAAGCATCCGCAAGCAGGACAGGCCTGAGCAGCGAGCCAGGCTGCACGGCCCCGAGGGAAACGTGTGACGCTGAAATCGGTGGAAGCAGCTGGGCTAGAAAGGGGGGAGTGATGTGCCGAGGAAATGGTGCTAAAGAGTAAAGGATGCAGCATTTTACGAGAGAATACGGCTGTACTGAATGCCTGGTTATTATTAGTAAATTAAAGATTTCACAGGAAAAATGATTGTTCCTCTGAAAAACACTATTTCTAATACTCTAAATAGATACTCGAAAATGCTGTGTTTCCAGCCCTGGAAGTGCTCAAAAAACATGTGGTGACATAGTTTAGTGGTGAACATGGGGGTGATGCTGGGGTAACAGTTGGACATGATCTTAAAAATGTTTTCTTATATTAATGATTCTATGGTTCTGTGGTTCTCTGATTTTAAAGGCTCCTACTCATTCCTGCCTACACTGAGACTGTTAGGACAAGAGCTCTGCATAGGAGTTTCCCAAACTTGTGCATGGGAAATGCACCTTTAACAATGCAGCAAGGAACATGACAGCACAGAATGCAGCAGAAACGGGTATTGACAACACAATACAAAGCCAGGCTGGACTCAGTCAAAATCAGTGATGTAGCAGCACTGCTGTGTCTGGCCATAGTGGCTCATGGGGAGATCCCAGAGCTGTGCGAGGGTCTGGAAGTGTTAAATCCACACCATCCACACAAACAGCACACCATCCACACAAACAGCACAGCATCCACACAAACAGCACAGCATCCACACAAACAGCACACCATCCACACAAACAGCCTGTCTCTGTGTGCTGCAGAAGCTGTAACACCAAGGCCCAGGAAGCAGAAGGGGCAGCCAGGCCATCTCCCCTCTGACACATGGACTCCCAGAGCACACGCCTGCTCCTGACTGGGTGTGTGTGCAGCACAGATCAGGGGATGGATAACAGAGAGAGGGGGAATGTAATTACCCTGCAAAGAATAAATCACTTTAACGGTTCAGTTACTGAGATCACAGCGAGGCAGTGGCACAGCCTCTTAATTAATCTTCTGCTTTGCAGCCGGCTCCTGCCCCCGCACCATCTCCACCTCACACTGCCTGGCAAGGAGATGCCATCGGTGGGGACAACACTGGCCAGTGGTTTCTGGCTGAGCAGGTCCAGCAGGAGCAGCAGGTGAGGGATCAGGGTGCTGTGGCTCCCAGGTTTGTGCAGGGTAATGCCTGTGGTGGGCTTGGTAACATGGTGCTCCAGGCCTGTGTCAGCAGCAGCCAGTAACTCTGATTATTGTGAGGAATTGCTGGGCATGCAGCAGGGGCCTGGGGATGCTGGAGGCCTGCAGAGGAATGGCTGGTGTGTGAGATCATGAAGGGAAAACCCCCAATTCACCTTCACCTCCACAAGGCCCAAACCTCCCTGGCTCCTCACCCCCAGCACTGACCCCCTTCAGCCCCTTAACTCTCAACATCTTCTCTGTGAATTGCACCCCATTTCTCATCCCTTCACAAACTGCTCTCTGGGCTCCCTCATCCTCCTCAGAATAACCCCTTTCACAGGATGCTCCCCTTATCCCTCAAAATTACCCCTCAGAGATTGCTCCCCTTTGACCCCCTCACATTGCTCCTCGGGGAATGGCCATTATCTCCAAACTGGTTCTCAGGGATTGTTTCTGTCACAACCCCACACTGTTCCTCAGGGAAACCCATCCATCAAAACTGCCCCTCAGGGATTGCTTCCCTCACCCCCTGCCCCCCTCATTGCTCTCGGGAAATCACTCCCATTTCCCTGCTCCTCCTCCTTCCACCCCAGGGATGTGCCCTCATCCTCCTCAGGGATCACTCCCTCATCCCCAAAACTGTCCCTCAAGGATTGCTCCTCTTCCCACTCCCTCCATGTTGCCCCTCAGGGAAATGCTCCAGGCCTCAAAACTGTCCCTCAGGTTTGGCCCCTCATCATCTTCAGGGATTATTCCCTTCAGGGATCATCCTTTTATTCCCCTCAGGGATCACCCCCTCGTTCCCAAAACCGTCCCTCAGAGACTGACCCTGACCTCCTCAAGGCTCACCCCCTGTGTCTCTCAGACTGCCCCTCAGGGATGGTCCCCATCCTTTTCAGGGATCAGCCCTTCAGGGATCATCCCCTTACTTTCCCTAAGGGATCGTCCCCTCATCCCCCAAACTGTCCCCAGGGATCGCCCATCAAAATTGTCTTTCTCATTCCTCCACACTGGTTCCTCAGGGTCTCATTCCCTCTTGCCCAAAAGTGCCCTTCAGGGATTGCTCCCCTCTGCTGCTCGTCAGGGAAATGCCCCGTTACCCTCAAAAGATCCCCCAGGGATCGCCCCCTCATCTCCAGAAGTGCTCCTCAGGGATGGACCCTCATCCTCCTCAAGGATCGCCCCCTCAGGAATCATCCCCTTAGGTATCACCCCCTCACTCCCCCTCGCATCGCCCTCCATCCTCCCCCTCCGTGCCGGCCCCGCCCGCCGCCCCACGCCCTCTCCCCGCCCCGCCGCCGCCTCCGCCGCTCCCCCGTGCCCGGCCGGCGGCGGCGCCCGCCCCATGCGCCGCTGCTGCCCGGCGCTCTGCATCCGCACCGCCATCGACGCCACCGCCATCGACGCCACCGCCGACATCTCCGCGGCCCTCGCCCCCGTCCCCGTCCCGCCTGCCGCCGTGTCCCGCCCGCCGCTGCTGGTGCTGGTGCTGCTGCAGCGCCGCCCCGCGCCGCCCGCCCCCGCGGCCCCGCCGCACAAGATGGCGGCCGGAGGGAGCGGCGGCCCCGGCGGCCTCTCCTCCTCCTGCCCGCAGCCGCCGCCGCCCCCGCCGGGCAACGGGGCCGCGGCCGCCGCCTGCACCAACGGCGCGCCCGCCTCGCCGCCCGGCCTCACCTACAACCAGAGCGGCGCCGCCAACCCGCCGGCGGCCAGCGGCGGCGCGGGGGGCCCGGCGGCGGCGGGGGCGGCGGGGGCAGCCGGCGGGGCGGGCGGTCCTGGCGGGGCGCTGCAGCGGGAGCCGGTGTACAACTGGCAGGCGACGAAGCCGACGGTGCAGGAGCGGTTCGCGTTCCTCTTCAACAACGAGGTGCTCAGCGACGTGCACTTCCTGGTGGGGAAGGGCCGCGGCTCCCAGCGCATCCCGGCGCACAGGTGGGGCGGGGGGCGCGGGGGTCCCACGCGTGGGGGTCCGGGAATGCGGGAGGGATGAGGGATGAGGGGGCACCCAGTCCCATGGCCCTGCGGGGTGGCCGCGGGTCCCGGGCCTCGGGAGGGTCATGGGGGCCGGCCCGATGGGCCTGGGGTCGTCCCCTCACTCTCCCCACGCTGATAAAGGGAATCGCCTGTTTATTTGACAAAAGTGCCCCTCAGGCATCGCTCCTCCTCCTGTCAGGGATCACCCTCTCAAGCCCCAAATTGCCCTTCGAGGATGGCTCGTCTCCCCCTCCTCCCCCACCCCCCGTTATCCCCTGGGGGAATTGCTCCCATATTCCCTCCGGGAATTGCATCTTTTTCCCCTTCACTTCCCACCGGAGATTGCTGTCCTCACCCCTCTATGTTGTTCCTCAGGGAATCACTCCCTTATCCCCCAAAACTGCTTCTCAGTGATTGCTCCCTTTGCTCCCTCGTGTTTCTCCTCAGGGAACTGTCCCCTTATCCCCCAAAACTGCCCCTCAGAATGTCTCCTTATTCTCAGAACAGTTCCTCAGGGATGGCCCTTCATCCTCTTCAGGGATGATCCCTTTGCTCTCCATCGGGGATGGCCCCTCATCCCCAAACTGCCCCTCAGCCATGGCCCTGGGAATGCTGTGGGTTCTCCTGCAGCCTCGGGGTGTGATGTGCCATGGAGGGGGGTACAGTGGTGCAGGGTTTGAGCTGCTGCACCTCCCCTGTGAGGAGAGAAAAGGGGGTCACATAACTGCACCCCACATTTCACCCCCTGCTCAGGGACACGTCCTGAGCACAGGACCCCCACTGTGGTCAGTCAGTGCTGTCCCAGATCTCTCCTAGCCTTGGGTCAGTATTGTGCCTCTCCTCAGGGTCACCAGCTCAGGATGCATCCAGGGTTTGGGTGAGAGTGTTTTATCCAGAGGGATGGAGTGAATAGGACAGGCGCAGCATGGAAAACCCCACATCCCTGGGTGTCACTTGGAAGTAACTCTTGGTTTGGTGGGAAGCAGAGGAGAGGAGGAGTAGCCTCCCTCATCTGCCTGATCCCTGCTGACAGGGATCACCAAAATCTGTGAGACCATTGGGGATGGAAATGAAGGAACAATGGTTCAAGACCCCAAATTTCAGGTGGAACATTTTAATTTTAAAATGACCTTTATTGAATCTTTTCTGAAGCCCTGTGTTTTGTGGGTTAATCCACTACCATGAAGAGCTGTGTTGAGAATGACACCTGGGCCTGAACAACCCGTGGTGGTTTATGCTTAGGGCTGAGCTGCCATTTAAGAATTTGCAGCTCAGAGGAGCTGGGAATCGCCTCCACCTGGATGATGCAGATCTGATGTGGCTGATTGACATTCAGCTGGTTCCTTGGGGGAGCTCCAGTGAATCCATGTATGCCACCCTCTTCCTCCCAAGGAAGAGCTCAGAGATGGAACCACCTTTAACTGGGTGAGGGAGGTTTCTTGGTGTACCTGGAAGTGGTGCTTGGCAAAGGGAGCCTCATTCCAAACAGTTTCAAATTATTGCTTTTCTCCTAAGTGCTCATGTTACTGGAAGTTCCCCCTTCAGATTTCCCCCTTTTCTCTCACTTTAAGAACAAACCACACTTGTTCTAGGCTGGTTTTAGAGTTTAGGGTGTCAGCTTTGCTCTCTTATAATTTGAAGCTTAATTAGTATTTGGGTAAGCTTGGTCCTGTCCTGAGAACTAGGCTTGCTGGGTGGGGACAGGTGATGTTCAGCCCAGAAATAAATGGAAAATAAATGAAGATTTGAAAAAAAAAATCGTCCCTGAAGTGAGATGCTGCTTAATTGCTATGAAATTCATCTGGTGCTCTGGGTGGTAAAGATAGAATGGAGTGTGTCATGGTGTGACATCCCACCTAAGGGTTCTAGAGATTTTAGTAAAACTTGTCCGTGTGATGTTACAGCTGGGATATCCTGGTGATTTATGAAGTACTGTGGTTATTTCAGAAATAAGAGAGCCTAAAATAAAACCACCCAGACCCCTCCTGTGCTCAGTTTTCCCACAGCACCTCTACAGCAGAAGATACTTTGGGTTGGAATTGAGTTGCAAAGCAGCCATGGGTTCAATTGGAGAGGTGCTGTTTTGTTTCAGTGACCAGGGCAGGTGTTGGTCCTTTGTCAGATGTCTGAAATCATAAACTCATGGAGTTATTAATGCTGGAAAACACCTTTAAGATCATCAAATCCAATCATCAGCCCAGCACCACTATATTCACCAATAGACCATGTCCCCAAGTGCCACATCCATGTTTTTTGAACACTTCAGGAATGGTAACTGCACCACCACTCTGAGCAGCCCATTCCAGTGCTTTACAACTTTTTCTGTAAAGACATTTTCCCTAATATCCAATCTAAACCACCCCTAGCACAATAGTGCACATTTCCCAGGTAAGTATTTCTGCAGTCTGGTTTAATTGTGCAAATTTTTAAACCAGGCCAGCTACCAAGCATGGGTGCAGGAGGAGCAACTCCTAAATAGAGTTCTTGGACAGCTCCTTGTGGTGCCTTAAGGAATGGTCTGCAGCATCCTGCCTGTCATCCTTGATATGACTTCATGGTGTGCTGGGAATGGCTTTAGCAGCAGCCTGGGAAGCACAAAGAACCCAAGAGATACAGTCCTGTGGGAGCTGGAAGTGATGGTGATTCCTGGTCTGTCTTCTCCTGGATGGAGCTGAGGGAATGTGGAGGGTTTGTAGGTTGAGGTAATGAAGTGGGGTGTGCCCAGTGAGCACAGGTGATGTTGTCCACAGATGCTGGTGCCAGAAGAGGTTTCTGACAGAGCTGTAGCTTCAGCTGTAGCTTCAGTGCACACAATTTTCTGAGTGCACCTGGAAAATTCAGTTAATGGCCCTGATCTGAAAGGAGGGGAGATTTAGATTAGGAAGGAATTCATCCCTGTGAGGGTGGGCAGGCCCTGGCACAGGGTGCCCAGAGCAGCTGGGGCTGCCCCTGCATCCCTGGCAGTGCCCAAGGCCAGGCTGGACAGGGCTGGGAGCAGCCTGGGACAGTGGGAGGTGTCCCTGCCATGGCAGGGGTGGCACTGGGTGGGCTCTGAGGTCCCTTCCCACCCAAACCAATCTGGGATTCTGTGGCTCAGCAGTTCGAATCAAGCCACAGAAACAGACAAAAGAAGCCTCCCAGAGCAGCTAAGAGCTGCTAAGCAGCTAAGACAAAATAAAACATTCATTTCGTGTGTGAGAGCCCAGTTTGAAGATAAAAGGTGTGAATGGGTTTGACTGAAGGGTCACCTGTCCAGGTATCTGCAGCTCTGAGAAGATCAGGTGTTTCCCACATGGAGGAGACTCCAGACCCTGTGGAAGTTCCTTGCCTACCTTGGAGCAGGCCCTGTCTCTGAGCCTTCAGCTCATTCCCTCTTGCTGCTGAATCAGCCATCAAGAAGATGGGATGGCCTTAAATTTGTTTTTGACGTCAAGGCCAGGCCGAGCAGCTGCCTCCAAGCTTCATGGCACCAGCATGGCCAAGGTCAACACATTGATTAGACCCAGCAGTAAGAGGGGAAGGTTTTTTGTCTTTCTCCAGATCTGCTTCATCGAGCACAGTATCAATGGGATTAGAAATGTCTAAACCTCATCAGCCAGGAGTTCCATGGGTCTCGTAATTAAACTTGTTAATTGGCCAGAAAATAGGGCCTGAGAGTGAGCAGGGCGAGCATGTGGGGATGCAGCCCTGTGTGTGCTCCAGCCTGGGAGATCTACAGCTTGGTGACAGCCTGAGTAAGACTTGGCTGTTGTTTCCAAGAGTCTCTTCTGAGCCCATCCTGGCTTTTCTCAGGCATGCATTCACTCACAGTTCCTGTGTCCCATGGCTCCTGCTTCCATGCAGGGCTGCTCCTTTCACCCAGGGTCTGCATCCTCTGCAGCCAGCACACCATCATCAGCAGCAGCAGCTTCTCATCACCTCTGGTGGCACCGAGCTCCAGCATGTCATGTGTTGCTGTGTTCCTGTGCCAGCTCTTCTGGAATAGATATTTTAAGGTTTCTCTGCAGTGGTACAGATGGAGGAGGGAGCTGTTCAGCAGCAGTGGGGTAGCTGTGGGTTTGAGTGGTTTCTTTTGTTATTGGTGTTACTGTAGTGCCTGGAAAGGGAGCAGCACTGCTGGGTGTGCAGATGAAACCAGGTGACAAGGGGTGCCAAGGTGAGCATGAAGCAGTGAAAGTTGTGACAGGAAACAAAATAGCAGAAGGAAAGACATTTTCTTGCAGGCCTTCCACAGCCTGTAGTCAGCTTTGGATCCTTTTAAAGACAAATTAACCTCAAGGAAGTTCCTGTGACTCTTACCACTGACAGTCAGTTTACTTTGGCTCTTCCTGGTGCAGAGGGAATGAGGAGAAATCAGGTGTTGCTTTCTTAATTCTTTAGTTCTATTTCTGCTTATTTCTCTGCCTCCTTTCAGTAGTCCACTCTGTTTTGGCCACAAAAGTATTTAAAAATAACTCTCTGTTGGATTTTCCCATCTAAAACAAATCCCATCTCTTCCTGCTGCAGACCTGCATGGCTGGGGGAAGCTGGTGGATGGTGTAGGAGGAGTGGTGAGCATCCCTGCTTTTCCTGGAGTGTCTTTAGAGCAGCTTAAGAAAACACTGGAGAGAGAGAGGGATTTTCTTATGTTAATTATGTTCTCTTAGTGTTTTAAGGGAACTTCAAATGTGGAGTCCTGGGTTTCTCTGGCACCTCCCAGGATCCTATTAGGGCTCAGCAGTTTACAAAATCTGACTGATTTGTTCCCGACTGAAATGGAAGCAAACATTTGAGAGTTTTTTTAAATGAATGCCCTTTTCAAATAGCTTCTGAAAGCTCTTGCTCATTGAGGACCTGTACTGTGCTGGCTGTGAGAATGAAAATTGGAGAGTGCAATTAATATATGTTAATTTTTAGTATCAGACAAAGCCGGCAATTGTTTTGCCACCATCGCTGCTTTTGGAGGAACAAGGATTTTTGTTTCATCTGGCAATTCTGGTATTGTGAGGAAGGTTTTTATTTTTCTTGACATTTTTCTTGAGAATGGTTTGACAGAAATATGCATGTGTGTACTTTTTTGTAACCACTGTGGTTTGTCCCGAGCTCCCTGAGCCCATCAGGAACAATGAGCCAGCTCGTCAGCCAAACTCCATCACAGCAAATGAGCCTGGCACATCCATGGAGCTTCACTCCATTGTATCCCTGGGAAGCCTCCTCTGGATGGGAGGGGAGGGAAAAGCGAGAAAAGAAAACATTGTTTAAATGGAAATTTCCTACTTTTAAAAGTTTACTTAATTTACTTAATTTCCTGTTAAATCTGACTGAAATTCCCCCGTAGTGCTGGACTTTCCTTGGGCTGGAGGTTTCTGCCCCATGCCTGCTGTCTTCTGTGGATTTCTGCATGCAGTTCTTGCTGCTTCTCTGGAAGTGTGCATCAAACCCCTGCAGCAGGAACCTGAAATATTCCAGCTTTTTCCTTTTCCTAGTTGGTAGAGAAGTGGCTGTAGTCATCTTCTGCAGCCTGGGCTGCTCTGCTTCCTTTCTGTGCTGAGTTGTGACCTTCAGTTTAACTTCAGGGAGCTGCGTGGTGGCAGACACAGGAATCCTTCATGGCAAAAAGCTCACTCCTGTATTTTTGAGCAAGAAAGTTTTCAAAATGGCTTTCTAAGTCCTGAGGCAGGTACAGTAGTTTAAATGTACACAGGCCCCTCAGCAGCCCAGGCCTGGGCCTCCTCCTGAAACAGGAGATGTCTGTTGGGAGAGGGGATCATCTTGTTTGCATGGGAGTGCTGGGACATAACTTTTGGTATCAAACCTGTTTTGTGCAAGTTCCTGCTTTCAGTCTCTTTAGAGCTGATAGCATCCTTCTCTGTGCCAGTATTACCATGTAAGCTCCCAGCAGTGCTGAGGTTTGTGTGCACCTCTCTGTGCTGGTTTGCTCTGGGGGAGGTTTGTTCTTCCCTCTGGGCTGAGCCCAGAGCAGGTTATCCTCAGCACCATGGGGAGGGCAGCTCCCGTGCCAGGGCTTGGGCTCTGCAGCTCCTGGTGCTGCTGCTGCTGCAGTTTGTGTTTTGGGAGCTTGTTCTGCCATCACCAGAGATGTGTGCCTGGGCCTGTGGGTGACAAGTTTTATATAAGTGTTTCCAGTAGGTGATTGTGGGGAATTGCAGCAAGACTGGGGCTCTGTTTACTGGAAGAACTTGAACTCCTTAACTTTGCTGTTCCTTTGCTTCTCAGCGTTGGGATGACACATAGGCTCCTACAGGGGCTTTACAAAGCATGTGTATTCTATTCCATAATTCCCAAAATCTGGCCTGTGGGGAGCCATTCCTGTGCTGTAGGACAGGGCTCAGAAGGAAGTTCCTTGCAGCTTTGGTGCTTTGCAGCAAGCCTGACCCTCCCTGCTCTTGCAAAACACTTTTGCTTTAACTCCACAAACGATTTGCCTTCCCTGAGGGTGGCTTTGGAGATAAGCAACCAGCCTGGGATTATTTTGGAATATAAATATGATTTAACATAAGGTTTTATTTGCATGTTTGTTATTTTTCCACGTTAGGTTCGTGCTGGCCGTGGGCAGCGCTGTCTTCGATGCGATGTTCAATGGTGGGATGGCCACAACCTCCACAGAGATTGAGCTGCCTGACGTGGAGCCTGCTGCCTTCCTAGCTCTGCTCAAGTAAGCTGCTTCCAAAGCACAGCATAACTGGGATGCACAGATTTAGTGTAGCAAAAAAATGGTTTTAATGAAAGCAGGGAAGTATATGTAGAAGGGAGGTTGTTCATTTCCAAAGTGAAGTGCCTCTTTGATCTGTTCAATGGTATTTAACTGCTGGGGGTAAATCCCTGTTTTCTTGGGTAAAAGTCTACTGCAGGTACTGCATTAAAAAAAAAAATATATATATAATATTGGCCATTGTGTTACAGCTTCTTATTCACTAATTGGTTTGGTTTCATCCTAAATGCTCTTTGAGAGAAGAGGGGAAAAGTGATCTTTTGAAAGCTCTGTAAGTTACAAACACTTGGAGCTTGTTTAGGCCGTGAGCAAGTTGTAACAGGTAAGCAGGGGTGTGTAATAAATCTCAGCCATTCCATGTGGTATCAGCCTTTGTGTGGGTTTTATCCCTCTTTTGGAGAGCTGGGTTTGAATTTACATTGCCAGTGTGTGTTGCAAGTCCGTGTGCTGGAGGAGGAGGAAGAAGGGGCTGTAACATCCTATTCACCAATTCCTTTAAGCTTGGCTGGTGCTGTACAACATCCAGCAGCAATCCTGAATGGATGCTGGAAAGTCATTGTCCTGTTTCTATAGGATTTCTGTAACCTACTTCCAGGGGTTTCCAGTCCTGTGCTCTTGACATGTTCCCCACTCGCTTCCTACTGGGAGCAGTCACTATCTATAGCTCTGGCACACTTTTTGCTTTACCTTCAGAAAGTGCTTTGGTCGTGCCTGTGCTGTCTTGGAATATTTTAAAATTGATCTGGGCTAGAATGAAAGGCCAGAAAGAATTGGGAGCCCCGAGCCCCTTCCCCTTTGGCTCGCTTTAAAGCAGGCACCAGCACGTGGGGAATCCCTGTAATTGGTGTGTGCCTATCAGCCATGTGGATCTCTCTGGAGTGCAGAGCTTGTAACTATCTTTAAATCAAATTCACAAATTCACTAGGTATTTGTGAGGCCCAAATATCTAGTGATTTAGAGGCAAAAGTCCTGATGTTTCCCTGCCAGTGCTGAGATTTCAGCACTTGATTAAACAGAGTGATTTCAGAAGAGAACCCATCATCTCAAAAGACAGAAGTTTAGGTGGATTTCAACAGAAATATTTACATTTTTTTATGGAAGAAGTCATAGTTGGATAACCTCAGTGCCTCTGAGCTGTGCCCATGGTCCAGTGACATCTGGGGTGCTTAAATCTAGAAATGAATTTTTAAATTGCTTTTAAAATGCTCAGAGCTTGTACCAGAGGATGTTTGGGTGCTGCTTTCCAGGAGACAGCTGACCAAGTATGTGGTATGAGTTCCTGGAGTAAAACCAGTCCCTCCAAACACTGATCTGGAATGGCAGCTGATCCTTACATATGTCTCTGGACTTGGTCCAAGCCATGATCTAATGCTGTAGGAGCAGAAGCTTATCCAGGGACCAAGTGCCCATCCTGAATGTTCTGCAGAAGGTCCCATCTGGATGCTGGATTGTGATGGAGTTTGTGGGCTAGTGACCTTTAATAGGTCTGCTGTAATTGTGTAAGACTATTATTATTATTATTATTATTATTATTATTATCATTATCATTATCATTATTATTATCATTATGTTAACCCAAAGATGAGAACACATCTGATGGTCTGGGTTTACAGTCTAAATGTTCTTTTAAATTGATACTGGGTTTTTTCACAGTATCACAGTTTTTTACTCTTGTCTCTCTTGTTACCCACTGGACTGTGGTAAATAGAAATACTGACACAGTTACTGAAGTAAACAAATAACTGGTTTTGGAGCCACTGTTCTGTTAATCTTGGAATAGAAAGGATTGCTCGGTGCAAATGGGGCTGGGAAAGGGTGTGTGCAAAGCACATTGATTAACCTGTGGCATGATGCTGCTATTGACAAATGCCTGGAGCAGCACAAAGCCTGCTTTCAGCAGTGAGAGTGCTTCCCTGCCTGTGGATCACACTGTTGATGCTTCCCTGAATGCCATCCTGGTCTTCTCTAGCTGGAGGAGAGGAGCTCCTCTGCTGCAGATGGGAATGCTGCCTGGCATCCCCCTGGATGAGCCCTGCTGCTGCATGAAGCTTCCAGGAACAGCAGCCACACAACCTGCTGCTGTGTCCCCTTCAGAGAAATGCAGAGCAAAACATTGCTGGAGTTTGCAAAATATCCCCTGGAATAGGAGTGCCAAGCACAGTTAACACAATATTGCATCTCTGTGCTTTGTGTCCTTGAGATCCTGACTGGCAAATGCTCCACTGGTTAAAGGAGATACAGTAAAAAAAACTCTGCATGAGCTGTTCAGCCTGGAGAAGAAAAGGCTCTGGGAAGTGCTCAGAGCCCCTGGCAGGGCCTGCAGAGGGACTGGGGACAAGGCCTGCAGGGACAGGAGCCAGGCAATGGCTCCCAGTGCCAGAGGGCAGGGCTGGATGGGATCTTGGCAATCAGGAATTGTTCCCTGGCAGGGTGGGCAGGCCCTGGCCCAGGGTGCCCAGAGCAGCTGGGGCTGCCCCTGCATCCCTGGCAGTGCCCAAGGCCAGGCTGGGCAGCCTCTGGGAGGTGTGGGAGGTGTCTGTGCCCATGGCAGGGGCTGCAACAAGACAGGTCCCTTCCCAGCCAAACCATTCTGGAATTCTGGGATAAGGACTAAACCCACTGCATCACTAATTTTCCTGAGCTCAGCCTCAGTTCCTGCTGTCTCTGGTCAGTGAGTTCAGGTACAAGGGGGCTCAGTCAGGTTTCCTTTGTTTTTCACATCATGAATGTGCTTCCTTGTTTTGGCCTAACAGTGAAGGCTGGTGCTTTGCTGCAGCATGGCAGTCCTTGTTTTTCACTGCAGTTAACTCTTGCTGTATGCTGAAATTACACTGTGAGCTGTACTTAAACATCTGTGTCATGAAATGGAACAGTTCAATCTGTGAAGAGATGAGAGAGTGTGGGTAAAGCACCTCGTGTGCAGTAGATGGGTATGTCTGAGTGCTTCTCAGCACTTCTGAATTAGTAGTGTAAAATGGAGTTTTTCTTCTGAGGGAGGCAGGCAAGATTGAATCTTTGCCCTTGTTTATTCTAATTGAACAGCCAAAAATATGAATTTTAAGGGGTGCCCTTGGCCAGAGACTGTTTTAGCCTGGTATAAGGGGTAGGCTAAGAGCCCACTGGTGGTGAGATGCAAGCCAGTTTGAGCTGCTTCTTCAGTGGAAATCCCAGCTGTTAAAAGTTATACTGTAAAATGTCTGCTAAAAAAAAATCTTGGTAAACCAGAGTCAGTGGAAAGGATGTGAAAACCCTTCTACCTCTCCAATAGAGGAAATGGACCAGAATGACAGGCAGAGAGGAACAAACATGTTTTCTATGAATTGAAGAGGTTTTACCCTGTTACCTTAATTCACCACAGCAATGTTTGTTTGCATGTTTGCAGATTTCTTTACTCAGACGAAGTTCAGATCGGACCAGAGACTGTTATGACAACACTTTACACAGCTAAGAAATATGCAGTTCCAGCCCTTGAAGCTCATTGTGTGGAGTTTCTTAAAAAAAACCTCAGAGCAGACAATGCATTCATGCTATTAACTCAGGTGAGTTTGTGATCCTCTGCCTTCAGCAAGGTCCAGCACAGTCAGAAAATGGGAATTTTCTGGGTGTTCCAGAGTTGATCATCCAAAGTGGAGCAGCTCTGGCTTGCTTTGAATTCTTCCTCACAGGAGTCCAGCACTGCTGAGCAGGTTCTTACAAAGAACCATATACAGCAAACGTTGCTGCTGTTTCAGATCTTTCTGTTTCACTGTGGCAGGTGGTTCCTTCCAGAGTGTGAGCTGGGGATGGAGTTAACAGGGTGGAAAGATTTCATCTGCCAAGAAGAAAAGTGGAATGAGAGGATTTCCGTGTGTTACAGAATCAGGACTGGTAATGCTGAGCTTTCTCTCAGTGCTGTGTCTGGCTGCTCAGCCATTCCTTGAAGGACTTTTGTGCAATACTTTTCCTGAAGTGGGGGTGAAAGAAAACCTTTTCATGAATGCTTTGGTTTATTTTCCTGGGAGAGGAGCAAGGTGCTCTCTTCCTCAGCCTGTTCCAGCTCCACCTCCTGCACTCACAGAGCTGGAGTGTCAGAGCAGCTGTTTCTTGGCCCTGGGTCTGATCCAGTCTCTGAGGGTTGTGCCAGCCACCTTCCACTTGACTCTTGAAGCAGCAAAGTAGGAGACAGTGTTTACAACTTCTGCTGAGTTTGGAAAAGATCAGACTTTGCATCCAGGTTGATTAAATGAGCATCACTCATCCCCATTTCCCAGCCCTATCTTCTCTCTCTGGCCCTGTCACTCTCTCTCAGACAGCTGATGCCATATTGGTGACATCCACAGTGCTGTCATCTGTGAGGTGGATGGCACTGCCAGGGACACCCTGTTCTGGGTGCTGTAGGAATAAGAAGGACACAGGCTTTGTGTGTAACTTTCTTTCCTTCAGGGAATGTGCAGACTGGAGTAGCTCTGGAGGATATTTCTGAGCAGCCAGCTCAGGAAAGCTGCTGTGATGTCTGATGTTAAACAGAGCTTGCAGAGGAGTTTCCCAGCTGCACTGAGGTGGGAACCAGCACACCAAGGTACCCTGGCTCTGAGGGCTTGCCTGTCTCACCAGCATTCCTGTCTGCTGGACTTTTCCCCTCATCAGGAGTACAGGTGTCTCAGGCTCTGCCTGTAGGTACCATGTGGGTGGCAGTGGCTACACCAGCAGTTGTGCAGATACTGAAGCAGTGCTGGCCTGAAGTAGTCACTGCTGAGCTCTTTGCTCAGGATTAGGCTGGGTTTTTTTATTTTTTTTTTTTTTTAGTTTAAATATTTGGATCAGTTCTCAAAGTAGTTCCCTGTCACACTGGTGTTTGTAGATACTTGTCACTGCTTAGGTTCAGCTACTGCTGCAACACTCCCTGCCTCCTTCTTCACCCATCCTCTTTTACCTGGCCCTTTTCCATGTGCCATGAACAGATGAGGCAGCCCCTGAGACAAGGGGGGATCCACACTGCACTTCCCAGAGGCAGATTCAGGACTTGAAGGCTCTTGATTGGGCGATGGTAGCCAAATCTGTGCTCCATTGATGCATGCTGGGGCAATTGCAGCTCCTTGGCTGCAGCTTTCCCCTTCTTTGGGTTCAGCAGTTGCAATCTGAAAGATCAGGAGCTGTTAGCCAGGAGCTGGGAACAGATCTTTGCCATAGACTGAAGTTTTGAGGAGGAATCTTAGGCTAGGCATTACCTCATGAGGGGTTAGAGGTGTTGGCTTTTGGTGGTATTCCTTATGCAGAGATTTTGTGTGGCTTCCTGTGTCTCTGCACTTGAGTTTGTAGCTTTGGCAAGGTAATATTTCAGTTTATGGTGACTTCCTTACAGGTCACAAAGGTCCTTCTTTGGCAAAGGAGGAAGGTATCCTTGTGCTTCAGGTGCCAAAACCAAAATACTGCCTGGCACTCTCTCAGTAGCACTGAGGCATGTGAAATGCCAGATGGGGAAAGGCTTTCCTGATGCCTTTTGTTTGTGGCTTGTTCATTCTGTATAATCTTCAGTGATGATTCCCATCTAGTTCACTATTTCTCTGTATCAAGTCTGAGTTGTTTGAGGCAGGTCTTGCTTGAGAAATGTGCCTGATCTTGATGACTGGCTGCACCTCACTGAAAGGATCTCTTCTCACAGCCCTCTTGTTCCTGGTCCTGCAGTGTGAAAACCTACCTGTTTTCTGCTTTCACTGCATCAAACCAACACCCTCTTCAGTAAATTACAGACCTGAGATAGATCTTGTAGAAGACACTGCCCTGTAGTCTTGAGATCATGGACCTGAGATCCCAGGGAGAGCCCCATACCTCCTTTGTGTGTGTGCCTGCCCAATCTGCTGGTCCAGCAGCTGTGTCACTGGCTGTCTCAAGCAACTGCTGATCAGTGGCAGAAATATCAGAGGCAAACAGCTTTCCTAGTGAGCTCTGATCCTCTTTCATGCCAGACACACATCCAAGTGTCACTTTGATCAGCAAGGAAATAAAGCTTGCCTGGAGCTGCTGTGGGGGAGAGCTCTGTGAGTGTAACTGGAGTCCTCACGTGTCCAAAGAGCCACTCCAGTAGTAAAGTCTGAGTCAGTCCCAGCTCTTGATGCCAAGAGTGTAAAGGCACTGGCAGCCCTCCAGCCCCTGGAGCAGGTGACAACTGCTGAAGTTTCCCTGGGCCCTCAGAAATTGTTGTTTCAGCTTCCTGTACTTGAGGTCTCAGCACAAAGATTGGCCTTGCTGAGCTCTGCGTGCCACAAGTGGGGGTGAAGCAGAAGATGCTGGAAGGCACCTCCTGAGTGATGGAATTCCCAGCCCAAGAGTTTTAAGCCTTACCTGTGGCAGTGAGTTCAAGTCTGGTGTATTCTTGTTAGGTGTGAAGTCAAGGCACTTCCTTCCTAAACAGCAAAACCAAAGCACTGAAGTAAGAGATAATTTAGTGTTTTTTGTGTGTTCCACCCATTTCTGCTTATGCTGGGCACAGGGCTGCTAACACGTGGCAGTCCAGGGTGATCTGAAATGGCAGCTAAATTGTTACAAGACTTCACTTAAGGTGGGCAGAGAAAATCTGAGCAGCTCTCCAGGCTGTGTAAGGCTTTTCTTGGAATAGTAACCTATTTTGGGACAAATTCTTAAGGTAACTGGATTAGAGTAGCTGTTTCTGTGCAAAACATGGAAATGCACTGAGCAGGCTGTGTACCCTGTAGGGCTCCCTAGGACACACAGGCACTACTGCTACAGCTTTTTCTTGCTAATGCACAAGATCAGTGTGGCTGTTCTTACAGAATAAGCTATCTCTGCATTATTCCTACAGCAAGCAGGCCTGGAGTCACTGGGCAAAGCTTCCTTGTAAATAGAAAAATGAAGTAAAAATTGCCTGTGCTCAGCTGACAGGGTCAGTGTGGTGCTGGAGAGCACGATTGGTGCCTGCACCCAGGCTGTGCTGAAACAAAGACGTGCCTGAAGACATGCACAGCTGAACCAGGGCTGCTGCCAAACACAGAATTTTCTAGTGTTTGCCTTGTCATGCTTAACTGCTTGTGAAAGGCCCAGTGGATTCCTGGTGCAGTCAGGCATGGTATTGCTAATGAAGATGGGCTGTGGGAGGGGAATGGGGGTTCTTAGAGTAAACTTGAAAATACCTTTTCTGTTAATGCTGCTCTTTCCTGCCTAGGCCCGGCTGTTTGATGAGCCCCAGCTGGCCAGCCTGTGCCTGGAGAACATAGACAAGAACACCTCAGATGCCCTCAATGCAGAGGGGTTTACAGACATTGACCTGGGTAAGCTCTTTTCCACCCCTCCCTCTCTCTCCCTGCTTTCATAACCAGCTTGTCTCCAAAGTTGTTACAGGTTAATAATGCTTGGCACTTGTGGCTTGGCTGTTCAGGAGCAATCAGTTGAATAGTCTCTGGCACAGAGTGGCTGGAGACAGGGAATTTGCCAAAGAGTTTGCTGCCTTGCCTGCAGAAATACCCTGGAATCTGCTTACTTTGGTGCAACTTGAGTTTTCTGGGCATGACACAAAGCCTGCTTCCTGTGTTGATGTTGGCAGGTTTTGGGTGGGTGTAAACTTGCCTTTTTTTGTAGAGTTGGCTTTCTTCCCCAAGTCTTTGTCAGGTTTTGGAGTTAAGAAGGTGTTGTGTTTTTGGAAGCAAGGACTGGCTATTTTAATTACCGTCTGCAGTTTCCAAACTTGCTGGGCACAGTTAATGAACATTAAAATTCAGGCTTTAACCTTCTTCTAATGAGATGGGCTGTGGAGGTAAGGCACGGGTCACCTTCTGGCTTTCATGCTGCTCGTTTCATCCAAATTTGACGTCAAGCAAGTTGCAATTCATCCTCCTGCACTTGCATTAACATGCCAATTCAATGGGCTCTGTTTACTGCTCCAGTGAGCTCCTTGCTGATGGAATATTCAGATAAATCTTCCTCAGAGGCTGCAGGCAGCGCTTTTGGGAGATGCTGTCGGCTCAGCCGCTTCCCGTTTTCCCTTGGCTGTGCACAGGGTACTCGTGGCAGGGTGCAGGGGGCTGGTTTGGGGTTCAGAGGCTGAAGCTGTGCCTGTTGTGGTGCCCTGCAGACACGCTGGTGGCAGTGCTGGAGAGGGACACGCTGGGCATCCGGGAGGTTCGCCTGTTCAACGCCGTCGTGCGCTGGTCCGAGGCCGAGTGTCAGCGGCAGCAGCTCCAGGTGATTCCAGAGAACAAGCGGAAGGTTCTGGGCAAAGCTCTCTCCCTTATCCGCTTCCCACTGATGACTATTGAGGAGTTTGCAGCAGGTAACTCAACCAAGGTGTTTCTGGCAATCCTGGTCTTTGCTTTCCCTCAGCTACAGAGAGTCAAGTCACACCAAAGAGGGTTTTCTCTGTGTATGCTGTAGTGATTTAAATATGGGGTTCCCCCTGCATTCCTCCCCATTTTCCCTCATTCTGCCCCTAAAAGGCTGGAAAGGGACATTTCATAAGGGCCTGGAGTGATAGCACAAGGGGGAATGGCCTCCTGAAGGAGGGCAGGGTTAGACTGGATGTCAGAAGGAAATTCTGAAGTATAATAATACATAATTCTGTAGTATTCCAGTGCCATAGGGTGTGAGGCCCTGGCACAGGGTGCCCAGAGCAGCTGTGGCTGCCCCATCCATGGAAGTGTCCACAGCCAGGCTGGACAGGGCAGCCTGGAGATGTCCCTGCCTGTGGCAGAGGGTGGCACTGGATGGGCTTTAAGGTCCCTTCCAACACTCTCCTGTGATTCCATGATTACAAAATCTACTGTCTGAATCCTGTTTTCATCCATGCCCATTCTCTCATTTTAAAGCCTGTGGTGCTCCCCTGGGAAGAGCAGGGGGCTCACAGCTGTGTTTGCTCTCACAACATGGGTGGATGGTTACTGTCCCGTTCAGCTGAGAGCAATGATCCAAACTGGGCTTCACCTGCTCCCCTTCCCAGCCATCCCGAGTGTTTAAACTACACAAAGCTGATGAAATTGCAAATAATTGGTGTTGATCATAGCCTGTTCCCAAAGAGAAATGGGAACATTTCTCCCCATCCTCTGCCTGTGGTGGTGTTGGCCCTGTCTTGCCAATGCTCTTCTGAGCAGAGCCCCATGTCTCAAAACCTTTGAAAATGCCCTTTGAGCTGCAGGCTTGGTGTTGTTTAGTCTGAGTCTCAAAATATTTTTCAAGTTTACATTAAGATCTTGATCCACAGAGATGTCTAACTCATTTCACAGCTTGGACTATAGATTGCCTTGTTTTCCTTTCATTGCTTGTTGTCTTTCACTTCATCCTCTGGGGATTCCCCGGGGATTGGAAGCTGGCAATTGGCTTTAAAGAGTTTTCATGCTAAAAAGACCCCGTGGAGCCATTTTCCAGACTGTCACTTGTTTCAGGCTGCAGTGCTGTGTACACAGGAGCAAACAGGGCCACTGACCCCTTCCTTTGCAGGTCACTTCTCAGGGCAGCGCTGGCATCAGCTGCTCAGTCCTTCATGTCCCTGTTCCCACGTGAGGAGGGCTGTTAGTAAGAGGAAAATCTGGGCTTTACACTTGGTCCCCACTCTCTGCTTGGCCTGTCACAGCTGTGATGTGGCCTTAGGGAACGTGGTTTTCTTCAGTGAAGCAGAGACCTTTGCCTCTTTCTGCAGATCTCATTTCTTTCAGTTCTTCCTTGCGACCTTGTATCATTCTCTCACTGCAAGGAAAGTGTTAATTTTGGCATGTTAGGGTTGAAGGCTTTGAGCTGGGAGTGCCAGTGCCCCTCCCCATGTTGTCTGTCACAAACTGCCTGTCCTACTTGGACCTTTGTGCTTTGAGACAAATTTTTAAGTTTTCTCCATCCACTTTAACCTAAAAAATGAACAAAATCCCCAAACCTGGGGGGCTGCAATGATCAGCTGTTCCTTAAACAAGGAATTAACTTGGAATTCCTTCAGCTTTGTCCTTTTTCTGAGTTTCTTAGTGACTCTGATTTCTCTGGTGATCACAGCAGAGACAGAGGAGAGAAACCTTTCCCCTCCACACCCCTCTCCCTGAAAAGCCAAGAAAAGAGGGAATTTTATAGCAGTGGTTTCACCAGTTTATTGTATAATCTGGTATCAAACGTGGGGTTTTGCATGAAGATGTTTTAACTGGCAAATGTGTCCCTCCCTCCCCTTAGAGCAGGTAATTTGAATCATTGCAGAAGTGAGTTGCAACAACACAGGATAAGTTCAGACACATCAACGAGGCTGATTTTTTTTGCTGAACAAAGTATCCAGAAGCTCATTTACCTTTAAGGAGTCGACTTCTTGAATTCTTGAGTCTCTCCCCATTGCATCATTGGACCAGGTTATGCCTGGGTAATATCAAGCTGAATTTAACCAGCTACAAGTAGTTTTGGACCTACAAGGAACTGGGCATTTGTTCCCCACGTTAAAGGACATTTAACTGCTGTTGTTTCCCCACTACTCCATGGTCTTGTTCCTGTTGAGAGCCTTGTGCAAACAGCTGCAGAGAAGCTTTTGAGTGTTGGGCTAACAGACTAATTTTATCCAGTTTCACTTTTGAAAGTATTTCAAGTAGTTTGCAAAGATTGAGTTTAGATCAGTGAGTTGGTTGCCCAGAGCAGCTGGGGCTGCCCCTGCATCCCTGGCAGTGCCCAAGGCCAGGCTGGACGGGGCTGGGAGCATCCTGGGGCAGTGGGAGGTGTCCCTGCCATGGCAGGGGTGGCACTGGATGAGCTGTAAGGTCCCTTCCAACTCAAACCAGTCTGGGATTCTGTGATCACTCTGGAAAAAATGTCTTGTTACTGGAGAAAAGATGAGGACATGCCCCAGCTCTTGCTGAAATCATTAGCATTTTTCCCAAGGTTCTACAATAAAGGTATTCAAATGCAAGATGTGGATTAAATGCCTGAAGGAATGAGCTGAACCACCTTTGTCTTGAGTAAAAATTCTCTTGAACTTTTTGAGTTGATGGTAACTGTATGACAGTCCCTCTCCCTCCTCCTCATGGTCCTCCATTGTGTCTGAACCGCCAGTGTGGAGTTTGGAAATCCCTGTCTCTTACCAATGTTGGCATTTCCAGGAGTGGGGCAAGGATCAGCTGTGTACTTTTGGGTTTTTTTTGGTAGCCCAGTGCATTTGGGCTCCACAGAGCTGGGCAGTTAATCACAGCTCCATGTTCCATGAAGGCTCTGCAGCCCATGACTGCCCTGTGGATAAAGGGCAGCACCTTTGTCTGGGATTTAATGTCCTGATGCACCACTGGGATCCCATCTGTGATGGGGGTTTAGCCTGGAGCCAGCTGCAGGTCAGGCTTGTTTCCTCATGAAAATCCCAGAGGATTCTTGCTGCTTATGCAGTTCTGGGGCCCCCAAGGTCAGAAGGGTCCAAAGCTGTTGGAGAGTGCCCAGAGGAGGGACCTGGAGCTGGGGAAGGGCTGAGGAGCAGCTGAGGGCACTTGGCTGGTTCAGCTCCAGTACCACACCTGTCCAATCAACCAGAATAAAAGCTGGGTAACAGCTACAACTGTACAAGCAAGAGACAAAAAACACCTGTTCAAGCTAAAAAAACATATTGGTACAAGAACACTGAAAATTGTGCTACTGTGGGCACTGAAAAATTTTGAGCAAAAAGATGAAAACTTTTAATTTCCAGGAAGATGGGGCTCTGCAAAAACCTTTTAACAAGGGCAAAATAGGAGGAGAGAAAGAACTAATTCAAACATGGTGACTGCACATGTTCATGATTAAGGAGTTCCTTCAATGTCTTAAGATCTAAGAGGTTATACCTACAAAACCAGAAGGGTCCAAAGCTGTTGGAGAGTGGCCAAAGGAGGGACACGGAGCTGGGGAAGGGCTGAGGAGCAGCTGAGGGCACTTGGCTGGTTCAGCTGGAGCCCAGGAGACTGAGGGGAGGCTCCTGGGGGCTGCAGCTCCTGCCCAGGGCAGGCACAGGGGCAGGGGCTGAGCTCTGCTCTGGGACAGGGACAGGAGCCCAGCAAGGGCTGGAGCTGGGCCAGGCCTTGGCATGGAGCTCAGGGCAAGGTTCTGCCCCCCGAGGCTGCTGGGCACTGCCCAGGCTCCCCAGGGAATGGTGCCAAGGCTGCCACAGCTCCAGGAGCTCCCAGGGCTGCTCAGGGTGGGGTTCTTGGGGTGCCTGTGCAGGGATGGGGCTGCACTGATCATCCCTGTGGGTCCCTCCTGACACCAGGACATTCCAGGACCCTGTGGTTCCCTAAGGCTGACAGCAGTGCCCCTCCCTCCCCTCTGCAGGGCCTGCCCAGTCGGGGATCCTGACGGACCGGGAGGTGGTGAGCCTGTTCCTGCACTTCACCGTCAACCCGAAGCCGCGGGTGGAGTTCATCGACCGGCCCCGGTGCTGCCTGCGGGGCAAGGAGTGCAGCATCAGCCGCTTCCAGCAGGTGGAGAGCCGCTGGGGGTACAGTGGGACGAGTGACAGGATCAGGTCAGCTCTGCGCCCATTCCCACCCCTGGACTCGTGTTCCTGAGCTTCCCACTGCTCTAGCTCTAAACACTCAAGGTTCTGTGCTAGACCCAGAATTTCCCCCGTGTGAGCCCACAGGGAAGGTGTTCTGCTGGGCAGAACCAGCCCTGATGCACTGACCTCCATGGTGCTGCCACTCTGCATCTCTGTTGGCAAAGGTTTCCAGGAAACGTGGCTCCCAGCACAGGCCCCTGGAAGGGGAGGGAAATAACCCCCCAAAAGCTTCCTGCAGCTTAGGGGCACATAAATGAGTTGTCACCAGTTGTTCCCCTGCCATGCTTTGGGGGGGACAGGTAAGCAGTGCTCCATCAGGTTGGTTCCTGCTCCTGCTGTCAGTGTGGAGCACTGAAGTGTCTGGTTGAGGCCCCTTAACCTCTCCTGTTGGAGAGAGGGGTTGGGGTAAGGTTCTGCTGACACCCAGTTTGTTCAGACCTGAGCTTGTGGACAACCAGCAGAGCCCAGTTCCAGTGACAGAGACTGGCAGGTGTGGCTGGAAAATGGTGCTTTGCAAGGGTTGTGTTCCCAAAGCAGAAAATGAGAGCAAGACAGGAGGGAATGAGGAAGCCTTGGGGTTCTTCCCTGCTTTGTTTTCATCGTGGGTGGAAGGGGACTCACAGCAATGAAGCTCTTCACAACTTTTAAGATGGTTCAGTTGCACTGGAGCTGTTGGTGAGATCCTCTGGTCCATTCCCCCCTGGCAGTGGGAACTGCTGCCCGCTCCAGACACTTCCTGCTCCCACCTCTAACACTCACAGACATTTTGGAGTTTGGGTTTGACTTGAGGTTCAGCTTCTGCAGCATCAGGGTCAGTTCCAACACTGAATATTCCACGCTGGCTGCAGAGCTGAGGCTTCCAGCCTGCCCCAGGTGTTTGTTCTGGAAACACTGCAGGGCTGAAAGAGTTGGTGGATAGATGAAGAAATGCTGTTGGCAGGTTGGCAGACCCTGAAGCTTCTGCTGCCTGAGAAGGTGGAGCTGTAGTGGGGGCAAAGACCCTTTCCCTTCTTCCTTGGGCAGCAGGGATTCCTGCACTCAGGAGTGGCTGAATCCTTATGTCTGCTCTTGGTCAATTTGGAATGCAGCAAACACCCAGCAGCAGGTGAACAATTCCCAGGGCTCAGCAGTGAAATCCCCAGTGGTGTTTGCTGGGCAGAGCTCTGTGAGTGGGCACTGCTCCTCACCCCCAGGCTGCCCTGCCTGGGCCTGGAGGGCACTTGGGGGTGCTGATGTTTTGCCACAACTTGGAAACACTTCCTGAGGCTGGACCCTGATATTGAGGATGGGATTGTGCAGCTTTGTGTTTCACTGGACCAGTCAGAGGTGGGAGTGTGCAGCTGATGGTTTCTGTGCAGGGTTTCACCTCTTAGCAAGGGCTGCACTTAAGTCTGTGTAGGTTTGATTAAATCAGAGATGTAAAATCAGCACAAGTGGAGATATTTGTGTATCAGCTTTGTACTGGAGCAATAGAGGAGTGGCAGGTTTGGACTGACTTTCCTGCTCTGTTCCTGCAGGTTCTCAGTAAACAAAAGGATATTTGTAGTTGGGTTTGGATTATACGGATCCATACACGGGCCAACAGATTACCAAGTAAATATCCAGGTAATTCTCTCTGCTACCTTCAAAACCCCGGCTGTTTTAGGGGCTGACAAACACATTTTAGTGAATCTGTAACAAAACCTGAGGTTCAGAGGGACTGTGTGTGTCCCTGGGCAGGGGGGCTGGCAGATGTAGCAGGGGCCAGATGGGGCACTGGGGATCAGCAGGATTATTGCTCTTGATTTCATTGCACACGTCATTGCAGCATCTCCCCAGCTCTGCTCCAGCTTTGGGGCAGTTGGAGGCAGTTTGGGAAGCAGCTGTGCATGATTTCCCACCCTGAGCATGCTGGGAGAGGCTCAGTTGTCTCAAGTCCATGATGATCTTGTCCAAAGAGCAGGTGGAGCCCGTGGGTGCTCTGTGCCTGCTCTGGGTGCCCCTGTGCCACCCCAGTGTGGGTCACTGCAGGAGGACTGTCCCCAGGAGAGTCACTCCAGCACACAGGGCTGGTGTCATGAGCACAGGCTGTCAGCATTTCTTCTTGGCTGCCAGGGCTCATCCTGCTGCCCTGAGCTCTGGGGGGAGAAGGGTCTAAGCACAGTGTGGGCTTGCAGTGCTCTGCCAGCCTGGGGGTGAGGAGGGGACATGAGCCCACAGCTCTGTGCTGAGCTCAGAGGGGCCCAGAGCAGCTGTGGCTGCCTCAGCCCTGAAAGTTCAAGTCCAGGATGTGGCTTGAGGCAACCTGGGACAGTGGTGGCATCCCTGCCCCTGGCAGGAGGGTTGGAGACAGATGAGCCTTAAGGTCCATCCCAACCCAAATTCTGTGATCCTTAAGGTCCATCCCAGCCCAAATTCTGTAATCATTAAGGTCCATCCCAGCCCAAATCCTGTGATCATTAAGGTCCATCCCAACCCAAATTCTGTGATGCTTAAGGTCCATCCCAGCCCAAATTCTGTGATCCTTAAGGTCCATCCCAACCCAAATTCTGTGATCATTAAGGTCCATCCCAGCCCAAATTCTGTGATCCTTAAGGTCCATCCCAGCCCAAATTCTGTGATCCTTAAGGTCCATCCCAACCCAAATTCTGTGATCCTTAAGGTCCATCCCAACCCAAATTCTGTCATCATTGAGGTCCATCCCAACCCAAATTCTGTGATCATTGAGGTCCATCCCAACCCAAATTCTGTGATCATTGAGGTCCATCCCAGCCCAGTTGTGGTTCTGTGGCTCTGTGATCATGGCATGGATGGGTGACACAAGTGATGGACAGTGCAGTCATCACAGGGCTGGTCAGTCTGGGAGTGCCTGGGGCTCAGCCTAGCTCAGGGACACTCCTGTGGGCAGGGTCCAGATGAAAGCTGACCCTTCTGTGCTGCAGATCATCCACACAGACAGCAACACGGTCCTGGGGCAGAATGACACCGGCTTCAGCTGCGACGGCTCCTCCAACACCTTCCGGGTCATGTTCAAGGAGCCTGTGGAGATTCTACCCAACGTCAACTACACAGCCTGTGCTACTCTGAAGGTACCAGCGGGGTGGGGGGAGCTGCAGGCAGGTGAGGGCACCTGCTGTAGCTCATCAGTGCAACCTGGGCATTGCTCTGTGTCCTTCAAGGCCAGTGGTGCAATCTCCAAGGTCTCTGTGTGTCCTGCTGCTGCCATGAGCTCCTTCACCCCCAGCATTCAGAGCTGGTTTTTTGTGACTGTGTTCACAAAAGGATGAGGGAAGAGATGAGGATCTGACTCCATGTTTCAGAAGGCTTGATTTAGTATTTTGTGATATATATTATATTAAAACTATACTAAAAGAATAGAAGAAAGGATTTCATCAGAAGGCTGGCTAAGAATAGAAAAAGAAAGCATGAATAACAAAAGCTTTTGTCTCAGACAGAAAGTCCGAGCCAGCTGACTGTGATTGGCCATTAATTAGAAACAACCACATGAGACCAATCCCAGATGCACCTGTTGCATTCCACAGCAGCAGATAACCATTGCTTACATTGTGTTCCTGAGGCCTCTCAGCTTCTCAGGAGGAAAAATCCTAAGGAAAGGATTTTTCATCAAAGATGTCTGTGACAGTTTTTGACTTGTCTCACAGCACTGAGCAGGTGTTTCACTGGGGAGGGGATGGGGTGATTTTTTTGGTGTGGTTTTTTTGAGCTGTCAGTCCTGCAGTGTGTAATCTAGAGCCTGCTGCAGTGGCCTCAAAAAGTTCATATGTAGCTGTTGAGACCTGGTTAAACTAAGAGTTAAATTCTGATAGAGATGGGATTGAGGTCAGAATACCTGAGGTGCACATCCAGGAGGAGAAGGGAGGAACTGACATCCCAACAGCTCCAAACCCACCCAACCCAGAGATCCTGGGCAGCAGCAGGGCCCTGACCTGTCCTTGTCTTCCGTGACCCCTGCAGGGTCCAGATTCCCACTATGGAACCAAAGGACTGCGCAAAGTGATCCATGAATCACCAACAACGGGAGCCAAAACCTGCTTCACGTTCTGTTACGCGGCTGGGAACAACAACGGCACCTCCGTGGAGGATGGACAAATCCCAGAGATCATCTTCTACACATAGTGCCACTGCCAGCCCGCCCTGGACTCGGCTCTTCCCTGCCACCTCCCAAACCAAATCTCTGGCTGAGTTTGACCACACCAATTGGAGCCACACTAGCCAAAGGTCCCAGTGAAATCATTTCAAAGCTCATCTTCTGCCTTGTGCTAGTGCTGCTGCTGCTCTCAGGTGCCAGGCCAGCTGGTGTCCCAGTGCAGCCCAGCTGGTGTCCCAGTACCATTTGTACGTTGTCTGTGGCTTGTTGTTTTTCACTCCTGATTAACCCTATCTAACAACGTGCGTTTTTTGGACTGTAATGAATGTAGATGCTTTTCCACCGGTCAGAAACAAGGCAACGAGTGGCTCTGGTTGTGGTTTCACTTGCCATGAGGAGATGGTCCTGCAGACAGACTCGGTCAGGGCTGGGTGGCCTCAGCTCAGCAGTCCAGGCCACACTGCAGGGCTTGGCCAGCCCGTGTGCAGCACCTTCCCTCCCTCCCAGCAGCCTCAGCACACAGAGCCGCCTTCAAACTCATGGGAAGTGGCCTTTTCCCTGAGGCTTTGCTGTTCCAGCACTACACAGGCTTGGAGACCTCAAAGCTGAGCTCCTCTGGAGGGACTGAGGCATTTTCCTGCTCTCCCCACTGATCTGTGACAATCTTCATCTCGGGCAGTTGGTGGCAGCGAGGTGACCTCCCTGCAGAGTGGTGAGGGGCAGCTCCTCCTGCATTCTGAGTCCCCGTGGTGCTGCTTCCACACCCCTGGCACTTCCCAGGTGTTGGTGATGCTCAGCTCACCCCTGAGCAGCCCCAGCTCTGTTGTCACTGGTCGTTGTCCTTTGCAGAGTGCCAGGGTTTGTCAGCTGAAGCAGAAGGGCACCTGCCTCACCTGTTCCAGGGCATTCCTGCAGTTTCCATGCACGTTTCCATGCATTTCCCTCTGTTCCTGTGCATTGCTGCCTCACCCCTGCTGCCCTGATGGAAGCTGGAGGAGAGGCTGGATGTGCACCTGCCTGTTACCTAGAATGCAGCAGATGGACAAGGATTTACCAAATGGTTCAGGAAAAGGTGGAATATTCTCTGTGCTGATGTGTGTTTGCACACTGCCTGTCGGCCAGGCACAGCAGAGGGATCACAAACATCACCTGCTGAGCTGTGGAGCTCGGTGACCTTGAAGAGACCCCTTGTTCAGGCCCAGCTGCTTTTCCCCGTGGCTGGTCCTGGGCTGCCTGACCAGCCCCACCCTCACTGCCCACGAGTGAAGACCACGAGACTCTTCCTCCCCTCCTCTGGAATTAAGCTCAGCCTGGCAGGAAGAGCAGAGCCAGCGGAGTCTGCGTGGGACTGGCTGGGGTGGTGCTGCCTCAGGGCCCCTTCTCCAACCTCCTGCTCCAGCACACGGAGCCACTGCCACTCTCTGGGCAGCTGCTGCCCCTGGATTTCACTGCTGGAAGTCGAAACCTGGCTGTCCTTGGCTGGAGCACGGCTCCTCCTCCTCCTCCTGCTGCCCCAGCCGGGATCCTGGGGCTGTGCTGCCTGCAGTCTCCTCCTCAGCCCTGCAGCAGCAGCCTGGGAATGCCCTGCACCTCCTCAGCAGTAGCTGTTAGAGATGCCCAGAGTGTGTTCTGTGCTCCAGGGAGATGGTGTGAGCTGTGCATTGTCAGCCTGCTTCCAGGTGGGATGGTTCTAATATGGCCAGTACTAAAAAAATAGAAAAAAATAGAAAAAAATCCCAACCTGGGTCCACGACCTGGTGACTGAACCCGACTCAGTGCAATGCAAACAGGGCTGTGGGATGGATTCACAGACTCTGTGTCCGTCAGGCTGTCTGTGACTGCCTGCTTCTGTCACCACCCCTCTCCCAAGGGTGGTGGCAATGTCACTGCTGGCAGCCAGGGCTCATGTTGGGGTAGCACCTTCCCAGGGGCTCTGATCTGGGTTCTGCACCTCGGGGCATCAGGTACAGGTGGAAAAAGTGGAATAATTGGAATTTGAGAGAAGCAGAGCTTGGCTCTGTGAGCAGGGCTGGGGCAGGCCCTGCCCAGCTGAAGGGGGACCTCCCTGGCTGTTCCCTGGAAGTTCTGTTGTTCTCATGATTATTTTGTTACACAGATTCTTGTCCCAAATCCCACCTTCCTGCCCTCCCTGCCCGGGGCAGGTCTGGCAGCTTGTCCTGTCACGGAGGGAGAGGAGTCAAACTCTGAACTACAGCTGAGCAACTTCTGTTCTTATGGCTTTTCTGCAGTTTGATGCAATTCTGGCTTCTGTAGATAGATGAATGTAATTCCTTGTTGGACATGCCTGTTCCCAGCAGTATGAGCCATTCTGTTGTACCACGTCACCTTCCAGCAGAGCGGGCCCCGCCCGGCTCCTGTGCTCTTTGATGAATGTATCCGATGCTCTCGTCCCGTGTTCACACTCTGCTTTTTGGCCAGCTTTGTGATTTGTAAATAGGAAAACAATAAAGACATCGAGGTTGTCTTTATGAAGTTTGGAGAATGATGGCTGCTGGAATGGTGGGGGGAGATCTGGGCCATGCTGGCTCCTGGCCCATCTCCCCCAGCTGAGGGTGTGGGGTCCTCAGCTTCCCATCCATGGGCTGTGGGATGAGCCAGACCCTTGGGGCTCCTGAAGCCTGGCAATCACTGCTGGGGAGTCCAGACCCTCAGGCTGTGAGGTGGTGGTAGGAGGGCAGCAGGATGGCACAGGGTGGGAGATGTCATTTTATGACTGAATTTCTTGAACCTGAATTGGAGGTTTTTGACAATTAAATGCACTAAAAGCTGCCTCAGCCTTTGGGGGTCCAGGCCTGGGGGGGAAGGCAAATCCTCTGGCCAGTGATTCCCAGCACGGAGAGGCTTTAGGGGCTGCTGGAGCAGGGATGAGGGCTGGGCTCTGCTCCTGTGCCCAGCACAGCTCCCGTGGTCCCTCAGCTCCATGGGGGCATCAGAGCCCTGCCCTTTGCCTGAGGGAGCAGTGGGGCCGTGGTGAACGTGAGCCCCGGGGCCAGGGGCAGCTTCCCAGGGCTCCAAACTGTGCTGGAGCTCGGCCTGGGGGCCCTGCAGTGCCCGGAGCAGGGGGAGCCCAGCCCAGCCCGGGTCCCTGCTGGAGGAGCACCGGGCTCAGCTGGGAATCGCCCTCTTGCACCATCACCTTTCTCACTCACAGCTTTGCAGGACTGCCCACGGCCATCGGCTGTGCTGCTGTTCCCTGATCTGTCCCCCCGAGATTTTCCTTCTGCTGCTCCAGGAAAGGCTCCTGGTCCCCCCTGCGAGGGGCTGGGGCTGCTCCCACCCACTGCTGAGGGAGCCTCCGACAAAAAGGGGGTGCTTGGTCAATGTCCTCCCCCTTGGGAGTCACACAATGAAGCACAGAAGAACGTGTTGGGTTTTAAAGATTTTTTTTATTTTATTTTTTTGTTTTTTATTAAAAAAAAGCCCCTAAATTCTATGGCTTCCAGGAAGCATCAGAGAAATTGAAATGCCATATCTGTACACTTGGTTTTAAAGCAGTAACTAAACTCGCAATGGAACAAACGCTCTCACGTACAATCGCAGTATTTGGACTCCTCGCTGGAAGGACAGAGAGTCCCGGGCTCGGGCCCGGCCCCGGCGGCCGAGGGAGCGCGCACGGAGCCGGGCACGCCGGGCACACCCTCGGGGCCGCCTCCCCTTCCCCTCCGCGGCTCCTCTTCGGCCTCTGCCGGGGCTGCTCTGAGCCGACGCGCTGCCAAGGGACCACTTCCAGTGAAAATTTTAAGGCGATTTTTAAAATTCGTTTGTTCGCCTCGCTGGGGACACGAGGTCAAACGTTGCACGTCCCCTTCCCGCCGTGGCCAGGGACGCGGCAGCAGCTGGGGCCGCAGCCCGGACAAGCCAAAGGCGGGGTCAATCCCTAATTGAGGATGAAGAGGGGCCGTGGGGAGGGCACGGCCCCGTGGGAGACCCCACGCCCCCCCAGCCCCTCCACAATGCGGGGTCTCCAGCCCCCCGAGATGGTCAGTTTGGACAAATGTTTCAAAGCAGCCACAGATGGTCCCATCCCTCCCCCGCCCCCCCAGCACAGCCTCAGCCCCTTCTTTGGGGCAGAACATCAGGGTTTTGGTAAAGATAAGTGTGTGTCCCCCCCCCAAAGTGTCACGATCAATACACACGACAGCGCACGGGGTCATTCACGTGGGGAGCTGCAGTGCCCTGGGGGTGCCGAGGAACGCGGGGGTGCGGGGGGTGTCCGTGGGTCAGTTCCAAAACCTGCATTTCCCCAGCCCCAGGAGAGGCCGGGAGGATCCGGGGGATGCCCTGGTGGGGATTCCACCGCTCCACCCCGGCCCGGCCCAGCTCCGGTCCCCCGGGGCCTCGGGGGGCTCAGGCTGTAAAACCAAGAGGCCATCAAGCCGTGCCCACACCTACAGCTCTCGTGGAAACATCCAGCCCCAAGACATGGCAGCACCAGAGACGAGGCCGCTTCGCTTCCCCTCCCTGCTTTGCCACCGCCATTCATGGGTCCCTTTGGTCTCGGCCGTCCCTGTCCCTGTGTCCCCCAGCCCCTGGGAGTCTCGGACCTGCTCTCGGCGGGACCGGACGGCGCCTGTATTGCTCGCAAAAGTGCATCGTAAATGAACTGTAAACGCGTTTCCTCTCCCCGCCCCGCGCGGCCCCGGCTCTCCCCGCCCGAGCGGGGCCGCTCCGAGCCCAGCGCTCGCCACTGACCGAGGGGACCCGGCGGGGACGCGGGGCGGGGCCGGAAGGAAGAGCAGAATTCGGTAACACTGAAGATGACGGTCAAAGACTGACGACTCAGCACTCTGCACCGAGACTCACTTTAAATTAACTTAAGAGACAAAGAAGCAACAGAAAAAAAAAATATTCCTCCTTAGCCCACTGCTCTTGAAATTGTCTTCGTCTTCTTCTGACAGCGACGGGTCAGAGTCTGTAGTTGATCCCCATTTCAGACCGGTTATAAACTCAAAGCAAGTGACGCCGTGGGTTTTTCTCTTTTTCTTTTTTTTTCTGTTTGACGGACGCAGGAACTTCAGCGAAGTTGGGCTTGGTTCGAGTAAACGGCCACGAGTGGCGGAGGAAAGGACAAGCAGTTTGGGGAGGCCCCGCTCCCCAGCTGCGCGTGGGGCGCTGGGGGAGCCCGTCCGGCCCGGCCCCCCCGTCCCCGTCCAGCCCCAGGGGCCGCGGGCTCCGCGGGGCAAGATCCAGCCACGGCCAGAGGGAGAGGAGCCGGCGCTCGCCGCTCCGCCCGGCCCCGGCTGCTCACTTGCGACGCTTGGTGGTTTTCCTCTTCCTTCTCTTGAAGAAACAGCAGCACCTGGGGACAGAGGGGACCCGTCAGCACGGAGGGTGCAGCAGCAGCCCCGGGGTCAGAGAGGACAGAAACCCCTCGGTGCCTTGGTGAGCTCCACGTGGGCAGAGCTGCTCCACCAAGTGCCCCTGGTACATGGTGGGGGCTGGATTGGGAGCACCACAAGTGACACCAAAAGTGACACCTGCCACAGCAAATGGCACCAACCAGGGGGGTGACACTGACCATGGCACACAAGGCCATGAGCCAGGGCCAGGCAGGGACTCCAGAGAAGGAGCAGTCCCAAACCCATCCGTGCCCCTCTGTGCGGGAGCCTTGGGCAGGGCGAGATGGGAAGGGCTGGGGTGGTGGTGGCCCTGCAGGGACACCTCTCACAGGGTGCCAGGGGACAGCTGGGCTGGAGGGCACTGGACAAGGCATCCTGGGGCAGCTGCTGAGCCCTCCTCCAGCCCAGCACTGGTGAGGGGCAGGGCTGGGGCCTTACTTTGTATCGTCTGTCACCTCCACCTCGGTGGGGGCTGTGATGGGGGCGTTCGAATGTCCTGCCGTCGGGTCATCTGTGTTCAGCTCTCCATTGGTGGAGCTCATCACCTGCGGAGAGATGAGTGTCAGCAGGGGCAGCCCAGGGGTCTGCAGCCCTTCCCCTCCTGAGGGGCACAGGAAGCACCCAGGAGACCACCCAGCTCTGCCCAGGAGCACCCAGGTGCCCTTGGTGGCAGATGGTGCCCTCAGCCAAACCGCAGTGCTCAGCCTCGGTGCTCCCCAAGAGCCCCATCACAACAGAGAGCTCTGAGCCCCTCAGAACAGCCCTGGAAGGATCCCAGCTCCTGGGAGCCCCTGCACCAGGAGAGGGGCATGAGAGCAGCCAGCTCCAGAGTGGGTGAGAGACAGGGCCTGGCAAAGCTGACAGCTCCAAGGAGCCCTTCCCACAGCTGAGCATCTGGACACGACTTCTGCTTCCCAGCACCAAGACTCAGCCCAGTGCCTACCCTGAGGGCTCAGGCATCCCTGAGCTCCTGCCCACTCACCAGGGCAGCAGGGTCAGCCACAGTGCCAGGGCCAGGAGGACATCCAAGCCACCGAGGCAACTGTGGGATGCCTGAACTGCCATCCTGGGCCTGCTGCCCACAGGCAAAGCCAGGAGCTCCCTGGGGATGCACAGGCCAAACACTCTCCAAGCTGCTCGGCCCCAGCAAGGACCCTGGGCCTTCCCCAGCCCCTTGGAGGAGCTGCCACCCGACAGGCAGTGCCCAGGCAGCAGGGACACCCGACAGGCAGTGCCCAGCCAGCAGGGCCACGTCAGGCTCCAGCCCCTGACACCAGCACAGAGACCCCTGCACATCACCCCACAGTGCCGGGCGCAGGCGGAGCACGGCAGGAGGGTTTGCAGAGCAGGACTGGGGAGGAGGAAGGGGATGAGGGACAGGAGGAGCGAGGCAGAGCATGAGCTGGGCCCTCGGAGTGCCCGGGCCTGCCTGGCACCACAGAGCGCCCGGCCCCATGATGGCAACAGCAGGAGCTGTGCCCAGGCCTGGGGCCAAGCACCAGCAGAGTCCCCGTGGAGCAGCAGGAACGAGCAAGAGCAGCGGGGACGGAAGCAGAGACAGAGGAAGCGGCGCAGGCCCAGCCAGGGGACCCAGCATGGATGTGCCACCATCCATGAGGGAGGGACCCCCAGGCCCAGGCAGGGCTGAGCAGAGCGGGCAGGAGGCGGCGAGGGCGGCGAGCACGGGGCTGACGGCACCAGCACAGGACCAAGGCAGGGCCACGGCAGGGGACACGGCCAAGGAGTGCCCAGGAAGGGAGGAGAAGCAGGGCTTGGAGCCAGGGCTCCAGTCAAGGAGGTGCAGGGAAGTCCCTGCTCAGACGAGCGGCACTGGGGGCAGAGCAACGCTCACCCAGCTGCTGTGCTGCAGTGTGCCTGCCATCCATCCATCCTTCCATCCATCTTCTATCCATCCATCCATCCATCCATCCATCCATCCATCCATCCATCCATCCATCCATCCATCCCTATCCATCCATCCCTATCCATCCATCCCTATCCATCCATCCCTATCCATCCATCCATCCATCTCCAACCACCTCTAATTCCCCCTGGCAGCACCAAGGGAGCCCAGCAGCCCCCGGGAAGCAGCACCAGCCTCGTCTGTGAGCCGTGAGCATCCGGTCACA